CAATCTAGAAATATTCACAGAAATTACAAAAAATCTAGACCTACTTAGCAAGAATAATAAACTGAATAATATTCTAAAAACAACCAAAATAATAAAAGTTAAAATAAAAGTTAAAAGCAAACGCCAATCTAAAACACATATTAACCTTATCTAAATTTAACCAACACACAATACAGGGAGTCACAAAATGCAACAAAAATAGATGTGGGGTTTGTGACATCATTATAGAAGGAAATTCCTACACTTTTGAAAACCCCAAAACAACATTCATAATAAATAAAAATTTAAACTACAACTCCAAAAATGTGATTTATGTACTTAAATGCACAAAAATGCAAGAAGTCATATATAGGCATCAGCCAACAACTGAACAACAGTGTCTCCCTGCACAAAAGCAACATAAAATTACCAGACAACAGAAAACTTTTTGTATCACAACACATCTTCAAATGTAACCAGGGTAAATTTACATGCCAGTATATCAAACAGACCTACAAATACAAGAAAAAAACTTCATAAACAAATTTAAACCGGAACCAAATAGATCCTAACCCCACACGCAAAAGCATACAACATGCACACAAAGTGAACAAATACAGTGATCAAATCACTCACATGCATGCACGCATGCTCACATGCGGGTATCTGTGGGACACGAAAAATATATATATACACACACACACACACACACATATATATATATATATATATATATATATATATATATATATATATACGCATTTTGACAAAAGCAGGGGAACTACTCACGGGCACGCACACAAACCCCACACAACTTAGGAAGTACGTGTGTATGTATGTACGTATATATGTGTGTGTGTGTATACTAGTTCCATGTAACTTTGGAAGTATGTGTGTGTATATGTGTGTGTATGTACTGATTCCTTGTAGCGGAACGGTGTGTGTGTGTATGTACGTGTGTATGTGTACAAATGTGTTTACTAATTCCTCGTAGTGAGACAGTGTATGTATGGAGGGGGAATATACACACGCATATATACACACATGCTGATAGAAACACACGAAAATGGAAATAGATCTAAGAACACACAGGGGTCATTAAAACATTAAACGATAAAATACCGATAAGTAATTCATCATTTCTCTTGGACCAACCTTAATTGTTTTATGACCCTTCGTGCAGAACTTTTCACTGCCAATTCAAGAAAGACATTCGGATTACTAACACAAAAACAGAGAATGTCTTGTATCGAGAATATTTAACATCGAAAAACATAAAGGAAAAAAATTAATTATTTTTAATAATTTGTGGAAATCTCCACCTTTTACCTGAAGACAGTCGCGAGACCAGAAACCCGTGTAGTAAAATTATGGAAAATAAAGCATATTTTTTTTTAAAAAGTCCACATTACAACCAAAAACGTTTGTGGTACACTTTTCTCTCATTGGAACCACTATAACCTCTTTCTTTTATATTTATACATATATATATTTATATATACATTATATATATTTATACATATATATTTACATATATATATAAACATTCTATATATATATTTATGCATATTCATCTATATATATATTTATATGTATTCATATATATATATATATATATATATATATATATATATAAATCAACCATTCGCCCTTGCATGGAGTATTGCTGCCATTTATGGTCTGGAGCTCCTTCTAATTGTCTCATGGTCCTTGATAAAATCCAAAGACGGATATGCAAGGTAATTAGCCCTGATCTGGCATCTCGTCTGCAGCCACTCTCTCACAGATGTACCATTGCCTCCCTCTGTCTTTTTTACAAATACTTTCATGGTAACTGCTCTGATGAGCTGCTTTCGCTGGATCCCAGACTTCATGAATTTAAGCATTCAACTAGGCTGGCATCTCGCTCACACCCTTTCACTGTCTAAACTGTTAAATGTAGCCGTCTCTTCTACTCCAATAGCTTCATGTCTCAAACTTCTCGCCTATGGAATTCCCTCCCCATTTCTTGTTTTCCTGATAACTATAATTTCCAACTATTCAAATGTAACATCAATTGATGTCTCAAGATGCCTTGATCTATCCCCTAACCGTCTCTTCATCCTTTCCTCTTTGTTCTTGCTTCTACTCTGAAACTTTTACATGCTAGTGGCTTCCCGCCTTGCTTGGGGTTGAATGCTTAAAAAAAAAAGATTTATATATGTATATATACTAAAATATATTTTTAATGTGTGATATATTTATGGGATAAAGTGCTCAATATCAGAGATAGAGCGTATGTAAATATAAATATAAAAGTGAACATTGAAGTCAACATACAGAGGCGACAGGCTGTTTCATGCTAGACGCAGTGATTGCATCTCGCATGAACAGCCTGTGTTCACTTTATATATATATATATATATATATATATATATATAATAATTTTTTCATATAGACAAAAACAATTTACTCACTACAAAGATGCAACATCATTTCAGTGCATTTAATTGCACTTCAACTAATGAGAACCAAAATTGTCGAAGTGCAAGTTGAAGTCATAGTGAGTAAATTGTTTGGTCTATATAAAAAAATTATAATACATAATTATTGCTCTACTATTGGTATTGAAACCTCTTTTGAATTAATGCTGTGAACATTAGGCATGTATATATATATATATATATATATATATATATATATATATATATATATATGTATATTTATACTAATATATATATATATATATCATAACATTTGGTTGGAAAGTTGGAATGATTGCTGGAAGACTCATCTAAAACAAATATATATTTTTTTTAGAATTAATGCAAGTATAAATTTTGTCTCTGAGCTAATTGGTGTTACCTTCAGCATCCCAACTCAAGAGTTTCATAGAAGGACCCTCCAGCAATCTCTCTGTTTACTCATCAGGGTGTATCAGCTAGTTTTTTTGCTTGTGTTTCTCTTTTTTTGTAAATGCACATTTCACTGGTGCAAGGTTATTTTCTTGTCATAATCTATGTTTGATCACAATATATATATATATATATATATATATATATATATATATATATATATATATATATATATATATATATATACATCATTAATAGTTCTCTTGTCATATTTTAAAATTATTCTAATATCTTATCTTCATTGATATAAAAATCTAACAACATCTCAAAAGCTATACACCCTGTCAGAATTTCAATCCTCAAATGAAATTGATCACTTCAGCATTCATGGCTCATATGAAAAAACAGACCATAATTTTGTCTATTTCCACACACCCACTTCCGAAATACCATCCAAAAATACCAGATTCATAAAACATCTTTTCTAACCAATCAGAAAAGACTTATATAATTTTTCACAGCAGCTATTTCTGAACTACTGACTCACTATAAAATTAGTGAGGATTTCACTCACAAAGTCATATCTGACCAGCCTAGCATTAGCGATGAACACCTCAGCAAGCAACCTTAAACTGTCCATCAGCAGTGGCACCACTGATAAAAGGTAGCAGCAGAAAATAACTTTTGAAAACTACAATGCAATAATTTGTTGAATATTTCCTCCCACAAGTCTATTTTACTTAACTACATATATACTGATTTTCTTTACATGCGCATCTCGACTACTACATTGTGTTATACCCCTGAACAAACTCTCAATTTCCCATGACTAATATATGATACCCCAGAATGAGCAAACAATCAAACCATGTAAATCACAGGAAATAAAAACTCATTCACTAATCTCAACCACATCTTCTTTCTTTTTTTTTTTTCACTTTCATTTTTTATTCTTGCCATTGTTACAATATCAAATGTCATTTTTGTCATTTATTTATTTATGCCATTGTTTCTAGAAGTATAATTGTTTAAGTTTACAAAGGTAGCATTATAGTTAATTAATTATTTATCATTTATCTATTTAAAATTTGACACCATTGATCCCAGCATAGAAAATGTCTATCATTCTCATCTTGTCCAACTAATAGCAGCAAGTGTCTTCTCAGTTTTATTTTTTTTTATCAATGTGTCTCCTCATTTTTCAATCAAATAATAAATTTCTAGACTTCAGCTATTAACATTTATTTTTAAAGTGTATACGGATTTATTGGAATTTTGTTAGATTAAGTTTTTTTCATCATGATATGTAATTTTCCTCTGAATAATTTCTTCATTTGTTTTCTTCTCCATTAATTCTCAGCCATATACCCACCTAGTATTCCTCGAAATGTTTATGTTACTGAATCCTATTTTAGGAGTGAATACACATATGTTTCTTTATCTTTACAAGTTAACAGGCTATTGTCAAAATACCTAATTCAAAACACAATACCATATGCTACATATTTCTATTTCAGCAACATATCTTCATGCTTGTATATAGGGTTTCATTTTAAATTATGAGACTGCAAATTATTTTCAAGCAAGATCTCTCAAATTTCTCTCAAGACCATTCAAATTTCTGGTATGACAAAAGTGTTTATTATGCTTGTTACTGCATTTAAATTTTTTTAACATATTCACTAAATTTCCTAACTCATCCTAACTTTTTTTATTTTTACTTTTTTATGATTCTGTGTGTTGCAGGCCACATAAGAAATAAAATACATTATAATTCACAATTTTCAATGAATACTGTATCTCTTATAAAAGTGCAGTTCAAGAGAAACATTCCTGGTGGTTTATAGACTACTGGCATTATCTTACTGCTTGTGCTATCGTCCCATTTCCCAGTATTCAATGTCATTCTGCTTCTTATTGTCCCATTTTACCTCATTTTCTAATAACCCATAACATGAATATAGTTTTATTTTTAATAGCTAAAAATTAAGAGATTTGAATTAACCTATTAATTGTAAACAATTATATTATTAGAAATGTTCATAGAAATTGACATGTCTAATATAAAGAAGGTTCAAGTAATAGTAATTATTATCCACAATTTGCAGAAGAAAAGTAAATATAAGCATATTTACTTTGAAAAGCTGCCATAAAATTTCAATATTTGTTGAGGTTTGGGATTTTGAGATGCTTTGCTTTTCTCTTTGTCTCTTTTTGAGAAAAGTAATTATTTTGTGTAGATGAGCTTAGATACTTAGAACGTGGTTTGCTACACATATCATTGCCACTACTGTTTAAATTCATTACCAACTACCTAGCTGTGCTCACATCCACTGTTTGATCTCCATGAATATTCAGCATGTGTCAGTAGGCACAAATTTTTATGCATGGATGAATTTAATGAATGTCATTAAATTCATCCATGCATAAAAATTTGTAACAGTTTCATGTCAGATGCCATTTTGCCAGATTGTCACACAGATGATATCTGTAAGAAGGCAAAAATGAATTATGGATTGTTGGCTGGAAGGTTCAACCTCTACAGCCAATACTTCCAAAATCCGCCTCTGACTCATGGCTAACATAATAAAAGAGGAGGCATTGCTTTCAGAGCAAACCCTGTACAGTGACTCTTTAAAAATAATCTACAATGTGATTTCATTGATGAGCAAAAAGCTATTTGGGGTGAATTGAGAGTTACTTCCCTTACAGTTACTTTCTACAAATGTGACTTTCCCAAAAGAAGAGTTCCTTTAATATTGTATGGCAGCACACAGGTGTTAAGCCAGGACAAACAGCTTAATAATACGTACGCACGACACGCCGAGGCAGTTTAATCGGTAAATATTGTCATTTTATGTTCATTCTTAACCTTCATATATGAATAATAATTTACCTGTTCAATATTTACGCTTCAAAAATGAGACTGGACTTGCTTTTTTCTATACTGTTTTGCTTTTGAATCTGTGTGTTTGATCTTGATACCGAATTTTCATTTTTAAAATAAATACCAGATTTTATTTTTATTTGTTTAAATGTTGATTTGTTTGCAGTTTCTGTCATTGTGCCGAAAAACCTAATCTCTACTAGTTACAATTAACGTAATCTTTATTTCACGTTGTTTTCTTTTATTTGAGTGATCGTGTAAGTGAATTATTTTCCCCTCACTCTTACTACACACTACACAGTGTTTCAAACTTCAACAATGAACATCGTCAGTAGATACTTTTTATTTTCTCTTACACTTTCCAATTTTAATTATTTCTCCAAAAATTACCTTTCGATTACTATTACCATAAAAGACTTTTCTCAATAATTTATCAAATGAAATAAATTAGCATTTTTGATTTGTTTTTAACGCGTTCTTAAGACAAAAAGTTATCCTATGTTTATTATTGGAACGAATAAATGCAAATCGATTCCATTTTTTTCTTCTGGATTCAAACTTGTTTTATTTAAAATTTAAATACTATCTTTTTTTTAACTGTGCATAATCTTATTTTTCGTAAAACTCTTTGAATGCTAGCGCATGATCAGTCCTTAATCAACTGCCACAGACAATTAAAGGGTCGTTAATACCAGTTTAAATAAACAACGCTGTAACAAATTAAAACCTCACTCAGCAGAAAATTTTCTGTCTCCAGCTATTTTTACTTGATATGCCAAAAACACAAACAAAAAGTACGTTACTTATATATTGTTAAACTTTCTTTTGATTTATTATTGTTTTCTTTTAATTATTTTATTTACAGATCTTTTAAAACTCAAAATTGATGATCACATCAGCAATAGTATAAAATTTTTGTTTCTTTCGACTGAAACCAAATCTACTTCACCTTTTCAGGAAAAGAAAACTCATTTCCAGCCAGCAATTATGAGCAATCCATTCAAATTCTTACAATAGGAAAATAATTTGCAAGAATTTTAGTTTAATTGAGAGTTAATTTTTACGGATAGAATCAATCATTTTCAATTTGTAAGCCCACCTCTCAGTTATTTTTTATTTTATTTTTTTTTTAAATCTTTACAAATCGAATTTATATTTTTTTCGTTGTTACGCTGTTCCGAAAAAGTCTAGAATCGTGGCGGATGGGAGAGGGGGGCATTAAAAAGGGGCCATAATTCGGATGCGCATAAATGAAAGTAATTTTGTTAATAATACTCTAAAAAATGGGTCTTTGGGGGAATTGAAAGAAATTCTGAATAATTTAATTACTTTGTAGAATTTTTTTCCCGATAGATTGAGAAGCACTCTAGAGGCAGTCATCCCTATTGAAGAAGATTTTACGATCATTAGTGATAGTTGGTTCTCCTATAATTGGCTAAAAAAATGATCTAGGATACAATGACAAAGTTATATTTTTTAAATTATTAAAATGTTTATTATAAATAATAATAATTTATTAATTCATGGAAATAATTTTATTTTTGTTTATTTACAATACATGAATTTTTAGTTCATACTCAAACAATAGAGAATAGCTGGCTTCAAAGCGTTTTTTCTCTCAAAGAAAACAGACCCAAATAACATCCGCACGAATAAGAATCTGACTGCTGAATATATTTTGAAAATATTTTTAAAATGTATTTGAAAATATAAAAACAATAAACGATATATATAAATTTTAACCCGCGAATTAAGGCCCCGATTCTAGGCTTTTTTAGCCACTGTGTTTATAATATTTTAAGAAGAGTAAATTTCGTAATTTTTGACTAACAACGTTACGTAAAAATTTTAACAATTGATTTATTTTCTAAAGTACACCATTTCAGTTGCTCATGAGAATGAAAATAGTTGTTTAAATAAATGCCAAAAATATGCTTTTCAAGATCTTGCTTTCTAGGTGATTTTTAAAAAAAAAAAAAAAAAAAAAAGTGCAATGTAACTATGTAATGTAACATTTTAAAATTCTTCTCTAAAGAGCACCTAAGCCATACAAAACAGAAATAATTAAATTTGTCCTTATGTATTGAAAAGGCTAACATTGCATGTGAGTTTTTAATTTTATAATATTATATTGTCACTTGTAGTTTTTGTTCTTAAATGTAGAACCAAAAACCCATTTACTAGTAATTTTGAGTTTTGTTTTTATTTGGTTTTTAAAATTGTTTCAAAACGTAACAGCAAACATCTGACTTGTTAAAACTAATAATGTTTAATAATGAAAACACAACAAACACAAGAGTATTACTATTACTATTACTACTTGGTAGTCAACACTACAATGTGAAGTAAGAAGAGATGATGACAGAAAGACTTAGAGATGAGAACTGCCTAATCATGACACAGCTTTGGTAACCTAATTGGTTAAGGGGTCATCCATGAAAGACAAGCTCCTAAGGTAAGGGAAGACTTTTCAAGTCTCATGTAAAGCTACCATTTTATTAAGAATTAATAGTTGAAGAATGGATTGATTCAAAAGATTTGTGATGGCTAGGCTATTCCACTTGTGAGGCCCCTCCAAATCCTGCATTCTCATGCATAGAGAAAAATGGAAGAGCGTTAAATTAAACAATTTGAGTAAAACTGAGAATGACAGGTGTTTAAAATTATTGAAGGGGTGTTTAGAGTCTACATTGTGTTATGTCAGTGTGTGTAAGAAAGGCCTATGACAGTGTAAAAATATTATAGACCTTGGTTAGAGGGCCACTAGATTTTAAGGCCCTAGGCTTCAGCCTGTTTAGTCTATAAGTAAATCTAACACTACTCTCTGGTTTCGATTTTGATTCGGAACCATAATTACTTGTCTTACATACAAATAATGCAGTAGTAAACCTTATTGCTGAAAATAGGTTGTAATTTTTTAATGCTCAGTATTAAATTTTAGTTAAAAGTATATTAATCTTAAAATGCCATCTACATAAGTAGAGGTTTTTTTTTTTAGCCTAAGTTATCTACCAAGCATGTTTCTATATCATTACTAATCAAAATAAAATCTCCATACATATCCTTCAAACAATGTTTCCTGTAAGTTTCCTTATTTACTTTCACCTTCTGGAAGATTCATTTAAGGTATCTTCTCAATGTCTCTATATTAAGATGTTAGAAGAAATCTTAAACTAGTTTTCTACATTAAACATTTGATATCTATTTAGAAAATGTAAGTGCACTTTAGCAATAGTATTAGCTGCTACAGATAAATACTTCTATAAATATTGAAATGAGAATCCTTATGCTAATATCTATTAATAGAACCTATATGCTATTTTGTTGCCAAAATTAAAGACAACTGAATGTGTGCAATGTTGGACAAATGGTTTAATTTATAATTATTGATTCCTTGATATTTGGTATGTATCAAATTTATATGAAAAGCAAGACAAGATTAAATCTATATAAATTTATCATAGATTTTTCCATAGCTAAATAAAAACTTTTTTTTTTCTTTTTTGGATCTTTTCTGTCAGTTCATCCCAAATTAAAAAGAATCTATATTTATTAAAATTCACACCAAATTCTCCCAGAGTGAGGCTCTTCCATTGCATTTCAGTTGAATTGACCTTTGTGATTGTCTCAAATGTGGATGATTTGGATGCGCTATTTCTAAGTGTGAGATCTACGTTCACATTCACCCTGATAAACAAACCAAAAACGGATTTTTTCTTCTTTTTTTATTTATTTTTTTTTTTTTTTTAATTGTAAAAAATTCCTTGTAAGTACCTCAAATATCATCCACAATTATGAAATGTGAATAACTCCCTGATTTTTGGTAATCTTTCATTCTGAGGGTTGGAGTTGTTGCAAGGCAAGCTAAACAAATTTTGATCTAAAATTTATAATTTCAAAAGAGTGAATTAATATTTGCGATAAGTAACCATACATTATTTGGGATTAATTAACAGAAAAGATCCTTTTTTTTTTTTTTTTTAATGCCATAACCTTTCAGGATGTAGGCATTCATGGTTCTCCACAACTTCCTTTTATTCAGTATCTATAAATTGCCATGACTTTGGAGTAGTTTCCTGTTTCCTTCTCCACAGTTTTGAATTCAACGTCGTCTTTCATCTAGACTGACTTCCACCCTGGGTCAGAGAGCCCAGTCTACCCAGCTATTTAACCTATAGCTAGTGAGGTGGTGAGGAAAGTAGATTGATTCATGTTTTCTTAGGTACATCAGTGAAAAGTAAACACAACAGACTAGGCTAAAATTTGAACTCAGCTCACCATTTTCCACTTTCCATGCTGAAAACCATTATGCTTCTTGTACCTCCTAAAGAAACTGATATAATAGCTGGCTGCTAATATCAGATTATGCCAATCTACTAGGTCAGCTAGCCAATCCTTGTTGAAGATGCCTGCACAGGCACATTTGTGTTTATTCAACACCCACAGAGCCCACCTGTGGTTTATACTGCAACTATGCCGAGCAGACCTTAATTACAGTTTCTGAGAAAGGGCACATTATCTAGCATGATCAACAGTCTGAATAAAGCTAGTGTACTCAATCCCTCGGTCATGATGACTTATGACTTCATGCTAGCTCAACCATCAACGGCTACCAAATAGTTCTGTCTACCCAATTTCACTTGGGTCAACCCATGGCATGGTTTTCAGGCACTTTCCAAAGGTGCCACATTCTGGGATCACCTCCCCAGGCCAGTAACATCAAGTCACCTTCCTGATAAATTGACTGTGATGAGATTTGAACTTGTGTCTCATGGTTGGAAAGCAAACATTCTAACCACTCAGGCCCCATGCCCATAAAGAAACTGATACCATCAGTAAATTAACCAATAAGAAAACAGTCTTAGGCCAGACATCGGTCATTAAGATATTTACTATCGACATGTCTTTGAAGATTCTAGTGTTTATATTGATGACGTACAATTCTGCCTTATAATTATGTAACCGGGTCATGTACCTTAGAGCTGAAGTTTGCAAACTAGTCTCATAGGCCACTACTAGTGTAGCAAGTTTTAGCTTTACTAAGCAACAGTCTTTGTGTCAGATTAAGCTAGATTTAGAAAATATTTAAATTAATTTCACCATTTCAAATTCTATATCTTGTTAATTTGTTTTTAATTAAAAGCTTTGTCTTTTCAAATGCTTATTTTTTCCTTTGTTATATTTTCACTTTTCAGAAGAATCACCATTACGATGGCAAAAGATAGAGATAAATTCATTGCAGATGAACTCAAAGAAATAAGAAATCAATGTGAAGGACTTGAAGGAATTCAACTTGTCACTTGTGTGCCTGATGCAGTTGCAATGATTATAAAGTAGATTATGACTTTTCTTTTTTCTTATTTCTTGCCTCTTCTTCCTTATGGCATTTTGCTCTAAACGAGAAAATGTTCAAATTACTTTTCTCTTGTTCAGTTTTATAGTCTCATGTGGATTTGTTTAATTTATATTCTTTAAAATAAATGATTATATTTAATTTACACCTTACCCATGGGCCACTTTTACTCTTAATTTTTTTTTTGGTGGACCCACATAACCATGAAAAAAATAAACTTTATTTTATCTTTTTCTAATAGATAAGTTTAGGAATTCTTTTATAGAAATAGTAAATGTATATGCTTTATTTTGAAGTAAAACTAATTTAATGAGAATAGACTGGTATTTAACAAGTAAATTCTATGGAACATTTATGTATGCTAGTAAAATAGCTTTTTGTGTGTGTGTGTGTGTGGGAATATCCCAGTAATGTTAAATGAACCCTGGTTGAGAACCACTGATTTACATGATCCAATCATACAAAGGTTGTTATAAAATTTATCATTAATACAAATCTAGACCCAATTCTGGTGGATGATCAGAAAAGATGAATGTTTTTCTTTTTCATAAAGTTTCCAAAACTACTGAATGTAATTTTTGGCAATGTTACTTAAATTAAAATCACTTCATGTCTCTTCTGTACTCTTTTAACAAATTCCATTTTTATAACATTTCTTAGATCTTTTTCAAGTGGATACTAAAAAGCTTACTCTGAATAGTTGTTTAAAACAGTCTCTACATTATTGTTTAAATATGTTTATATTACAATTATTTCACTTTAGCAAAGCAAAATAACTGGTAAAAACAAAAGTTTATGTATAATAAAAAAAAAAATTAGGAAAAGTTAAAAATTCAAGTTTATTTTCATTAGTATTTATTTCATTTAATAAGCTTTAAAAAAAATTTACTTTCTCTTGATAAATTCCTATTTGCATTTTTCTCAGGAAAACAGATTTCAAACAACTCAAACTTCGTTTGATGTTCCCATCCCATTATCCAAATGAGCCAATAATTTCGGAATTAAACAGTAAAACATTATCTGAAAAATTACTTGATGGCCTGCAGAAAGTCTGTGATGATGAATGCAAAAAGTTTATTGGGAATGTCCAGGTAAGCTAACTTGTTTGCTTTAATGTTTTACAGATGAAACTAGCCTTATGCCATTGAATAAAAAATATATATATATATATATATATATATATATATATATATATATATATATATATATATATAAATTTGAAAAAAAATCGAGTGTTAATTTGATAATCTTCATAAATTAAACTAGTTTAATTTTTACTGTTTGCAAGAATTTCACTTTTTATACAATCTTGTACATTTGTATGCATCAGATGTTAATTCAGGATAAAATCTGTTTTGGTGAATTGAATTTCCTCCCCTCACCAAATAAAGCAGATTGTTCAGATTTAAATAAACTAAAGACTTTTTTGTTCTGATAGATTTTGAAATATAATTTGTATATTAACATGTAGAGTGTATTGAAATAAACTTTGCCTCTGAATCTTCAGTTTCATTTTTGTGGTTGAAGTTTTTGCTCTTTGTGCGTGTATGTGGGATTTCCTAGTTCTTTTGCACAATGGTAATTTATCATTCTGATTTGTTATTTGATTTCTTAATTATTAAATGTTGAACCCAAATCTCATGGATGAGTTTAGTCAGCAATCAAAACTCCTTTTGTTTCTTTCTTGATTAAGTCATCTTTCAGAATAAAATTGCATACCGTTAGACAGAACTTTGTGAATCATTCTAGTTTCATTTTCGTAAAACCTTTTCTTGATGCTTAATTGATATTTTTATTCATTGTACAACTGAATGGAAATCGGTCAAGGATTATAAAGAAATAGTGTCGAAAAAAAAGAAAAGATCTCTTAAACTGTTCTGTATTATACAAAAAAACATTGCCAAAAGTACTATTTTATATAATACACTGATTTGAGTCAGAGTATTATATAAAATATTACATTTGGTATTAGTATCCTCATCTTGGTTGTTATGGAATGCATAGCCTTGTATCAGGTTATCCCATAAGTTCTGTCCAAATTTTAACTTTTTGTTAAAATGAACGAAATTTAAAGAGTATTTTATAATGTCTAATGGAGCTGATCATTATTTTTATGTTTAAATGCATTTAAACTGATCAAATGTTATTTCAGAGAACAATAAAATTAAATTTTGTTTGATTAAAACCCTGCTAACATGGAAATCATTTGAGGCACATAATGCTTTATGTGTTCAAGAAAGAAAACTCAGCAGCCAAAGTGGCTAGAAACATTCACTCAGTTTATGGAGAGGAATGTGTGAATGAAAGAACTTGCAGAAGATGGTCTGCAAAATTCGGAGGTGGAGATTTCACCCTTGAAGATGAAGATTGAACTGGACGTCCAGTTGAATTTGATGAAAAGCTTCTTGAAGCAGCCCTTGAAGAAAATCTTGCTTTATCACTTGAGGAATTGGCAGTGGTTCTCAGTTCAAACTATACAACTGTTCTTCGTCATCTTCAACAACTTGGAAAAGTTCCTAAACTTGGAAAATGGGTGCCTCATGAATTGTCTGAAAACAACCTCAAATCCCGAGTTGACATCTGCTTTTCTCTTTTTTCTTGCCAACTTGTTTCACCTTTTTTGGATAGACTTGTGACTGGCGACGAAAAATGGATCTTTTATCAAAATGTTAAGCGTCGTAGATAGTGCCTTGGTAAAGGGGAAGGACCCCAGCCACAGCCAAGAAGGGAACTTCATGGGCAAATCTTCTTTCAATCTGGTGGGATCACCAAGGAATAATCCACTTTGAATTCTTACCACCTAATGCAACAATTAATGCTCAAATATACTGTTAGCAATTAGAGTATTTGAACCAAGCTTTGAGGAAAAAAGACTTGCTCTAGTGAATCGAAAAGGGGTGATGTTTCATCAGGACAATGCGCGATCCCACACAGCAAGAATAATGTCACAAAAGATCAAAGAACTTGGTTGGGAGAAAATTCCTCATCCACCTTATTCTCCCGATCTTGCTCCTTCAGACTACCATTTGTTTCGTAGCTTACAGAATCATTTGGAAGAAACAGCTTTTGTAAAACAGGAAGATGTTAAAACTGACATTTGTGAGTTCTTCGAATCAAAACCAAAAGAATTTTACAGTAATAGAATTAGTAAGCTTGTTAATAGATGGAAAGAAGTCATAGATAATAAGGGAAAATACGGTCACTGGTCATTTGGTCACTTGTTTTCTTTATTCAAAATTCGGACAGAACTTATGAGATGACCTGATAGTTGTAGGTTTAATCCCTAGGTCAGGTAATGCAAAAAGTCATTTACTCTGGTTCAGTGGAAGAAACAAGCAGCCTCACAAGAAAGAATTAACTAATATGATATATCCTCTGACATGGATAGTGGAATGAGAACATTATATCCTCATAGATTGAATAAAGTGTTTTGTTCAAAATTCCCAAAAAGTTACTATGACAGACACTTGAAGAGAGTACAACAGACAAAACATGACCACAACAACCAAGATAAGGATATTAGCCTAAATAATTTAGTGTATAATTTCTCACCTCAAAGATTCAGTCAAAAATGCTGTTTTGACTTTCAATGAAAATGATATATGCAAAGAAGAATGCAATCACATCAAAGGTAGTATTTCATTTTTGCCCTCACTTTTCTAGTTTTTACTCTTGCAGGTAATGAAAATGCTGCATTTTGTAAATAAATTCCTTGAAGACCACAAATTGTGTGTTTGTAGCAGTGAGATTGCATATGTAAAAAAGGAATTGTTGAAAGACTGTGATGAGGTTAAATTACGGCAAAAAACAAGTCAAATAATCATAAAAGCGCAACAAGAAAAATATTTCCTCAACTTTAAGCTCACCATTCCAGAAGACTATCCAAAGACTCAAGTACAGTAAGTTTACTTTACCAATTATTTTTTTTGAAGCTATATTCTTTGTCTAGGTTCTTTCTTCCATTTTTTGAAATGAGTTGCTGAAAAAAATTCAAGTGTATCTTATGGGTTACTTTCCTCCTCAGTACTGAAATTCATTGACTATAGAAATAGCATTAAATCTGTGATTACTGCTAGCAGAGATAAAAAAAAAATACTTATTTTTGAGATTTGATAAGGGGGATAGGAAAGATTCCGCTAGATTGTGAGTGACTGAAAGTGAATTTCAAGAGAATAAATGGTTTTATGTGTCATGTTGTATATAAAAGTTTATATAAAATTACAAGCTATAATTGGCTTAGAATTTTTTACTTTGTAAAGCTGAAATCATCAGTGTCAGTATCTTTGTTATAGTGTTCATTTAAATGTGAAGTCTTTCGGTCAGAAATTGCAAATATTATAAAGCAAACAAATTTCCAAAAAATTCTTAAAAGCTGTCCTTATAATTATTCAGAATCTAAGAACCTGTTTTATGATGCTATTAAAACTTGTAGCATTGAATTCAATTTATGATGCTAATAAAACTTGTAATATTGTTTCATCCTTATAAGTGATGGTATCAAAACTTCATTTTTACTTTATTTTAAATAACATTGAAGCTTATATTTAAAATCAGTCTATTGAGATATCTTTGGACAAACTTAAATCAACTTTATTAAAACTTGAAAATCTTTTGCTAACATAAAGCCAATTTTATTTTTACTGTAAGATAAAAATAAGAATTACCTTCAATTCATTCATTCAGATGTTAACATTAAAGATATTTATAAAGGTTGGAAGAATTTTGCCTGGTAAATTCAATTTTACTTACCTCCTTTTTTTAATCTTTTTTTTTAGCAATATCTTATGCGACAGTAAAAAAACATTGCTATAGCTTTTACTATTACTTTTATTATTATTAATTGAATTATTGTATAATCATGTGATTGACCTACAAAGCATATTGCAAAAGAAAAAAAATCTGTCACTCCATTTAGGTCAACTTTACGGATTTTCAGTCATACTGTAACGTTTCAAGAAAGAACAATGAATTTTATATTAAAAAAAAACAGATCTGTTGAAACTTTATTATTTATTTATTTTTTCATCAGTCTATAAGATAGTCAAATATCAAAACAAGTTATTAATTATTTTATAGTGTAACCATGTGTATGTAAGTTCTATAGACCCATCTGTGGGATCCAGATGGGTGATGATTCTCCATCCTGGAAACATGCCCAGCCCAGCGTAACTGGGACTTCAGCAGCATATCCTCAATGCCTCCAGTATTGGAGACGAAGTCAGTGTATATTAAGGATGATGTAGAGGCAGCACTGGTGGAACCGTTCAAAGCATCACAGGTAGTGTCAGTAAGTGACCCATGACTCTGAACCATATAGGAGAGTGGTGAGGATGATAGCTCTATACACGCTGATCTTCTTCAGGTGTTTGTTGTACCACACACATTTGTACAGCCTACCAAATGTAATGCTCACCTTTGCCAGTCTGTTGTTGACCTCCTTGTTGATCCCAGCATCTGATGTGATGATACATCCAAGGTAGGTAAACCGATGGACTGCCTTCAGCTCTGTTGCGCCAGTGATGATGTGGGGAGGACAATACTCATCCCAAGGAGTAGGCTGGTAGAGTATCTCTGTCTTCTTTCAATTGACTTCAAGCCCAAAAAGTTTGGCAGCCTCTGTGAAGCAGGAAATAGTGTGCTGCAAAACTCCTTCTGTACAAGCAACAAGGGCAGCATCTTCAGCAAAGCAGAGGTCTCGGATAAGTTGCTCCAGTGTCTTCATCTGGGCTTTTAATTGTTGTAGATTAAACAGGCCACCATTGAGATGATATCTGATGTAGACTCCGTCCTCATCATCAAGATCCTTCATGGCTTGCTTTGAGAGAACACCGTTGTGCCTAACTTGGCCACGCTGATCCTCATGCAGTTTGATGATCATGTTCAGGAATTTTGGAGGACAGCTAAGACGCCCCATGATCTGCCACATTCCTCTTCTGCTCACTGTGTTGAATGCTTTCGTCAGATCAATGAATATATATAATATATATATATATATAGCCCCTTGTTTTGCTCCTGACACTTCTGCAGCTGCTGGAGAACAAACACCATGTCTATTGTGCTCCTGTTGGTTTTGAAGCTGCACTTTCTGGAAGATACTGTTCCACGATGGCAAGTAACAGCCTGTTCAGCAGAACCCTTGCAAGAGTAATCCTTTGGTAATTAGAGCAGTGATTTTTCCACTTTGTTCTTGTACAGGGCAATGATAACTGCATTGCAGAGATCTTGTAGTATTTTTCCCTGCTCCCAACAACAGCAAAAGAGCACATGGAGTCTCATATGCAACACTGGACTCCCATGTTTCCAGATTTCAGGTGGAATACTATCAACTCCTGCTGCCTTGTCACACTTCAGTTGCTATATGGCTTTGATAGTTTCTTCATTGGTGGCTAACACATCCAGCTCCATTTTTACTGGTTGTTGGGGAATGTGGAGAATTGCTGGTTCCTGGGTTGAGTGATTAGCACTGAAGAGGGCCTGGAAATGCTCTGACCAACAGTTTAGGATAGACACCTTGTTTGTAAGGAGCATTTGACCATCTGCACTGCGCATAGGAATCTGGACCTGATACATAGAGCCTTTAACACTTAGAAGCCCCTGATTTCTCTAGTGTCTGCATACAGCTGATTTTTTTCAGTTAACTTTCACTTCATCTGATTTAAAACTGCCAACTTTTTACAGAGGGTCCCTCTTGGCCTGAGCTGAAAGTGAAGCTTGAGTTTGCAGCGAGCAAGGTGATGGTCGATATGACATTCTGCACTGGGTATCACTTTTGCGAGCATGATGTCTTTTAGGTCATGCTGGCACACTATGACATAGTTAATGAGGTGCCAATGTGTAGATCGAGGATGCATCCAGTTTGTTTTTAATCAGTTTTTCTGTTGGAAGATGATGTTCATGATGATGAGCTGATGCTCTGCACAGAACTCTAGAAGCAAACACCCATTGTCGTTACAGTTACCAACACCATGTCTCCCAAGCACTCCCCTCTGGCCTGCAAAATCTTGGCCTACTCTGGCATTGAAATTGCCAAAGATCATTGCAGGGGTGTCTTGTAGTAGGCTGCGCAGATCTGAATAAAAATTTATCTTTTTCTACAGGATCTGCTTGTAAACTTGGGGAGTACACACTAATTAGTGTGGCATATTGAAGATGCAGTCAGAATAACCTGTTGGCAGGTTTTCAAGCTTGGAGGCAATGGAAAGCCTGATCATGAAACCTATGCCTGAAAGATTGCTCTCTACTACTGAATTGCCTGACCAATAGAGGGTATATCTGGTGCTGTGCTCTTGTAGGCTGCCTTCCTCTGGGAAATGGACTTCACTGAGAGCAGCAATGTTAACATTTAGTCTTGACAGTTCATTTGCAATTAGAGCAGAGCGATGTTCTGGTCGACCACTGTCGGGTGTGTCCAGCATGGTTCTGATGTTCCAGTATGCTACATGTAGCCCATTGATACCATTACAGGTGGGTGTGAATCTTTTCTTTACTGATGTTCAACCTCATGAGAAGAGGCCCGTTGACCGTGGTTAGCCAACTGACTAATATAGGAGATAAGATTTGTTTAGGCCAACTTTTCTAGGCCTCTCTCCATATGGAGCAAGCAGTGCTGTCCCTAGAGAAGGCTGCTTGGTCATTCAGGGTGCTGCCGAACGATGTTGTCATCTCCAGGTCAACATCAGACTACCAATATCTTGACCCGCCTTCAATTTGGGATTGGGACTGCGATTTCTAGTGTCATCTTCCACCTGCCGTTTTCATCCCTTTCCCATCACTACAGGGCTTGGAAATAGTTGGTGGACACAAATATCTCCCTCAGGCCTGTGCAGTGGAGTGTTTAGGTGAAGTGCAGCATGCACTGAACTGGCCCCACCCTTTACACCCAGGATTCGATCTGTCATGGCCTAGCAAGCTGGGATGATGACAGTGAAGTCCCTGGGTTGTAAGTTTTACAGAGTGCCAATGGTTAAAAAAAAAGAAAAGAAAAAAAGTGGAGTCCAAGACTCATAGAAAATATCTATTAATCAAATATTGGATGTTATATCAATGAATACAAACTAGATTTAGAATTTAATCTTTAATATATGAATTTAATAAGGTAGTTCTAAAAATTCTCAACCTGTTCAAGAAGGGATTAAAAAAGATATTTGGTTAGTTTCTGAGAAGTTGGTCAGGCTGAGAACTTTTCAGCACACCCTTGTATTTTAACACTTATGATTTTCAAATTATAAAGAAACAAAAGTAAGCCCAACCTTTTCTGTCATAATTAGTTTTCTTTGTAATTTTGTTTGCATTTTTTATATTAACCAAGAACCTGCTACATTCTGTAAATCCAGTTACATTACTTAATGAATACATGCATTAAATTCTTCAACATTATTATTAGCAGTAAAGAAAAAAAACTTCAACAAATTAAACTTTAGCAGGAAAAATTTTATAGTGACCACATTTGCAAAATGAATCAATTAAATGTTCTTTTGACTTTCAAATGTTTTAAAACATTCTTTGTTTCTTCAGGTTGGAAATTATCGATCATAATTTCCCTGAGCTTTTAAAAGTGAACTTTGAGGCCCAAGCCGTTGAATATGCCAGACAATGTGTCCAGCCACCTCTCAGAAAAAAACCTGGGTGAGTCTGTATAATATTTTATTATGAAACTGGTAAATGCTTATTCCGAAAAGACATCAAACTTCTAGTTAATGATTATGATTATTTTCTGCTTCATTGTAACAATAATGCACATGTTGATCCATTTTGATAGCAAACATAATGTTCCTTTACAGAAGCCGGTTTGCCATGTGACCAGTTTCTTAAAAATTTCATTGAAGATGTCAAAAATACAATAGCTGAGATTAAGTTGCTATAAGACAACTAGTTTGATATTTTCCTATATGAAATATAAAATCTAATTAGAAGTTAACAAATTTTTATAATAATTTGTTCTTACCTCAATAATTTCTAACATTTCAATTGGTGTGAATTTACTTAGCAGAAAGAATTTAACTTCATATAAAAATTTCATGTAAGAACATTAAATTATATTTACAGATTATTCATTATTTTTAAATTCTTTATATTTTATAAGAATTTAATTTTTAAAGAAAATCTTTAAAATGTTCTATTACCAAAAGAATGTTTATAAATCATAATTTTTTTCTAATTTATCTCATGTGAAAAATTAATTATACTTATAAATATAAAATTATTTTTTTAATACATTTAAATGTTGAACTATTAATGCTTTCTGATCTAAAAAATCATTCACTTTGCTTTTGAGCAATTCCAAAGTTTTCAATTCAAGTGTAGACTAGGAATTGACTAAAAATCAGAATTTCATAAGATACCAGAAACTCAAATTTGAAACTTTTTCTTTACTGACTACAAATTAAAAACTAATTTCATAATTTTTTCCCACTATTTAAAGTATTTATTCATTATTCTAAAATCTATAAATTGTAATTTCTCTGTAAATAATACCTTCATTATATTGAAAATTACATTTTATAATTTTTTATTTTAATTTACAAGCAGCATTTTCCGAATCATTAGAAAAGGGTTTGCTTGTTTTTCTGCTTGACATGGCACTTTTTCTATTTTTATTTATTTTTCAGTGACCCTCCTTTTCAACCCAAGCCGTCCATGTTGCCTGTATGCAAGTATCTTATTGGTGAATGTGTCAAAAACTATCCCTTGCAGAAGTGCCCCATGTGCTTCTGTTATGTCCTTCCTCAAAATCCTCCAGTAAGTTATTGACCAACTTAAAAGAACTGTCAAGTTATTCAATTATTGTTTGTTGTTAAAACCAAAAATGGTATTTTCGTTAAATTTTCACATACCTCTCTATTAGTAACATAATGCTTGAAAATGGTTCCACTTTTAATTTCAAAATTTATCTTTCCGTCTCTGCAAATTTTGGCTAAAATAATTAACTAAATCTAAAAATAAAGGTTTTTTTTTTTTTATATAACTTTTTAAGCTTCTGATCTTACACAGCATGTAAAAGCATTTATCTAAAAGTGAATTTTTTACTTATTTTGACAAATTATTCCATAAGGCATGGTGGAGTAATGGATAGCAGCTTGGATTGAGGAACCGGAGAGTGAAGTTCGAATTCATTTCATTCACTTACATGCTAATACCCTTGGACAGACTGGGTTCTATAGCCTTGGGTGGCAACTGGTCAACTGTAGAAAGGAATGGCAACCTACTGCAAGAAAAAAATCTGCCCCGTCAGTCATGTATAGAAAGATACATGATCGCCTAAGCATGTATCACTTATGGCACATAACTGACTGATTCCATAAAATTAGGTGCCTAACACCGAGTTCCTGTTTGTATAAATTGTATGAATATAGTTCAGCATTTCAATTAATTTCCATCAAATATTACAATGAGAGATGAAAGCAACTCCTAAAGATTCTTAGGCAATTTATGATTTTTTTTTTTTTTTTTTTAACTTCAATGTTTTGTGTTTATTCATATCACTCTCACAATGTAATGATTTTTTCTTTCAGGAAGAAGTTTCCAAAGAGAAACAGGTTGAACGAGTCTACTGTGGTCATTTATATCATCATTCATGTTTGGCTGCTTATATGAAGAAGCCACCTTTCATAGGCGAGTAGATTAGAATCTTTCTCTGGATTTGTTTTTAGGAAGTTAATTTGCTCAAAGAATTAGTTTTATTTTGTTTTTTACTTAGTTTTTTTTTTTTTTTTTTTTTTTTTGTATGGTGATTTGTTAGCAGGTTGACAAAATGTTTCTCATTAAGTTTTTCTGTATGTATTTCAGTTTTACTTTACAGCTCAACTGTGTTAATTCTATCCAGTTAAATTGAAAATATAGACAAATCTATATGTTTATTTATAATAAAACCTTATAGTATCTCATGGCGGAACAGTAGTTGTTAGTGTGTTATTCTAGTTTTCAAGAGAGAGGATTTTCATACTAGCAAGAATTATTTTCTAAAATGCATGTTTTTTTTTTTTTTGCTGGGGTTATTCTAAAAATGCTCAGCACAATCTACTCTTAACCCCCACCCCTGCTGCCATATCTTTGAAATCATTTTACAGTTTTATCAAAACCAAAAACAATACTGATTTTACCCAAACTCTATTTTCCCACTTTGCACTTTTCAGTTTTTACTAAATTTATATGCTTTGATTTTCTGTAAAAAAAAGTTAATGTTAAGAAAATTATAGAATTGCATTTAATTATTTTCTAACAAATTAACAGGAAATCTTTATTTTTCATGCTAAGTCTCATATAGATTTTGTTTTTTAAAGTGAGCAATTACTGATGTAATTTGGGCAGATTAAAAAGAAAATTGTCAGTTCCTGGATTTACTATAACTTGAATGGTCATATCTTTTAAATAATCACAAGCTCAATTTAAATATAAATGACTTGTTACTAAGTGTAACCTTGTCTAGCACAAAGTTAAATTATTGAAACTCACAGTGAGGAAGAAACTCACTACTGTTGTTTGTGATTCAAGATTGTTTCATACAATTCAATGGCTGGTAAGTGTGAAATATATATACTTTCATTTACTTTAAAAAACATTGCTCAAGTAGATATTCAGGAAGATTTTTTTTTGTGATAAAAATTCTTTATTAAACCAAAGAAGTGAATTAGCTGTGAATTGTAGGCATAACTTGCCTTTCAACTTAGAATATGGTTAAACTTTAAATTTGGTAGTATGGTCTTAATTAGTAAGTAAATTGTGGTGCACCTTCTATGAATGATTATTTTATTTTGTTTATTTAAAATTAATGTAGCTATGTATTGCAGTTTAGTCAGCATTATCAACATTTTGTATGAATATTACACATTTTTTATTTATTTTTAAACACTTAAGGTGCATTTACTGGTTTCTTAAAGAAGCCTTTTTATTATCAACTATAAAATATATATTACAATTATCTATACATTTGATTATCTTCCTACCTCTCCCCTTAGCTTATAAAACTGAACAAGTTACATTTGTTTCATAATTATGATACATGGTTGCTACTTGCTTATAGTTTGTATGAATTTCTTGTCTGCCACTCATGACCTTGACTAGGATTATATTTCAAAACACATTTTACCATGATCAAAATTCCCCCTTTTTTAATTTAGCATAGGTCTAACATCTGATTGGTTAATCAGGGTAAGCCCACAAGCCTCATTTTAATTTTGATTTGTAGTTATCTGCTTTTGAAATTTAAAAATAATATTTTACTCACTAATTATTTACCATCGCCTGAAGAGGCACAATATGAGTGCCGAAACATGAAAGCTATTATGTAGGGATTTTTAACGTTTTTGTTTTAATCTCATATAATATATATATATATATATATTTATTTAGTTGGTTTGATGTGAGTTTGTAACCCTAGGTTTCACGCTATTTGTGATCGTCAAATATATATATATATATATATATATATATATATATATATTATAATTAAAAAGAAGAGAACAATCACAACATTTTTGGTTGTAATGTGATTTTTTTTTTTTTTTTAAATATATTATGCTTTATTTTCCATTATTTTGCTAAATGTGTTTCCTGTCTCGTGATCTTCATCAGGCAAAGAGTGGATATTTCCACATATTATTAAAATGAATTAATTTTTCTTATGTTTTTCAGTGTTAAATATTCTCAATATTTGACATTATCTATAAATGTAACCAGGGTGAATTTAAAATTATGTCAATACACCAAACAGATAATGATTCTTACCTACAAATACAAGAAAAAAATTTCATAAACAAATTTAAACCAGCACTAAATAGATCGTAACCCCACACCCAAAAGCACACAACATGCACACATAATGGCCAAATACAGTGGTCAAACCAGTCGCATCTATGCGCGGTGCATGAATATGTATGCGCATATTGACAAAAACAATAGACTGCTCACAGGCATGCGCACAAACCCTACACAACATAGGGAGTGTGTATGTGCATATGTGTGTGTATACTAATTCCTTATAATAAGACAGTATGTATGTATAGAGAGGGTGTGTGCATGTACATGCGCATACTGGTGTGTGTGTGTGTGTGTGTATATATATATATATATATATACACACACACACACACACACACAAATTGACAAAAACAAAACTGTCTACAGGCACACACATGAACCCTACACAACATAGAAATTGTGTTTATGTGTTTACATATGTGTATACTAATTCCTTATTATAAGACAGTATGTATGTATGGAGAGGGAATATGCATATGCATGCTGAAAAAAAACAAAAAGATGGAAATAGATCTAAGAAAAAACGGGTCATTAAATGATAAGAATATAGATATCTTTCTCACCCTTTCTCGGTCCAGTCTTAATTGTTTTATTACCCTTCACACAGAACTTTTTCACTGCCAGTTCAAGGAAGACATTTGGGTCACTAACACACAAAAAAGAGAATGTCTAATATCGAAAATATTTAACATCAAAAAACTTAAGAAAAATTAATTTCTTTTAGTATGTGGAAATTTGCCTGATAAAGGTCAGGAGACCAGAAACCCATGGAAAATAAAGAATAATATATTTTTTTTAAAAATCCACATTACAACCAAAAACGTTTGCAGTTTCTCTCTTCTTTTTAATATACACACTTTTCTCTTGTTGGAACTACTACCTCTTCAACTTTATATATATATATATATATATATATATATATATATATATTATAATTATATATTTTTACTTCAGAAATTTTAGTAAATTTTGAAGATGTATCTGTGTTTTTCTTCTTTTTTTTTTCTTTTTTTTCTTCTAAACATCTGCCCCATCATTGTGATAACCCAGTATATTTAACCAAATTTAAAATATGTAATGATCAGTCTCAATTCTGCACCTGAAGATTATGTTGTGCTACCAGTGAGGAAAAAATGTGTATTTATTTATATATAACTAATATGAATACTCTCTTTCTCCTGCAAAGGGATATACCAGTTCTAATCATGACTGAGGGCACATCTATTTCTTTAATAAGATTTCTCAAATATTCAGGTCAGAAGACAAAAATGAATAAATATATTGTTTAATAATTAAACAGTGTGTCTACTCAAATATGGCCATGCACTAAAAATAACTCTTAAAGTGATAAAATTGGTCAAAATAATAAATAAAAAATGCATATATATATATATATATATATATATATATATATATAAAAGGCTAGGATAGAGTTTCAAACCTTGTGTAGTAACCTTCCTAGAGATGGTGCCTCAATAAAAGCACTAGATGTACTTTGACTACCGTGAGCTGAGTTGGGGGCCAGGAAGAGCATCTGGCTTTGTAAAACCTTGCTTCAAATTATGACAATTCCTGTCATGCAGGACCAACCTTGCTTTGCATGAGGTTAATCCCAGTCTTGCTCAACAAAAAAACATGGCTATGTATTTCTTATAAAGTGACTGTCTTCAAATTTTCTTTCTGAATATAGACAACAATAAAAAGAAACTACTAAATAGGTACTTCCATGAAATTGCTAAAAAAAAGAGCATAGTCTGATGAAAAAGACGCCAAACTTTATGAAAACAAAATTTTATCGTCTAAATGCTTATGTTTTTATGAAGAGGAAAGACCAAAGTTTTTTTTAATTATTTTTTAAAATTTTTCCTTTAGAACATTCTAAATTTTGATTAAAAAAAACATTGTTTCTCTTTGTACCAACCGGGGCTAGTAAATAACATGGACAATTTTTAGCACGTTTTTTTTTGTATTACACACATTAATTTGGGAAATCTTGCAAAAATAAAAATAATTGTCAGATGTTAATGAAACTTTCAGAAACTATTCACTAATGATGGAAATTATTATAAATATGTTTTGTTTTTTTTATTAAAGTTATGGCACAAATATTTTTTTTATATTTAACACCCCATAACTAATTTTATGAAAAACTCTAGAAATTCGAGCGCATCAACTTTAGTGATTACAATAGTTAAAAGCACAAGGCTTTGAAGAATGCAAATCATGTTTTTTTGTTTTTTTTAATTGGATCCACGGTACCTGAAAATCAGCTCTGAATTGTAACATACAAAACTCAATAAAACAAATATATTATTTAATTTCAAATGCTTTTATTTGTTTTTAGTTGTTTTTATGAATATGGACAATATTTTCTGAAAGCAAAAATTTTTTCAATGAAAATTGAATTTTTAATACAATTATTTGTTATTTCTTTAATTATAATAGATTTTTTACATTAAGTTTTTTTAAAAATATTATAACATTAGTTAAAAGCAACATCAACCTTTCTAAGTGTCCTTATGAGATTGTCATTGTCTAGCGCTTTGAAAATTGTATCATTTGGACCAATCAGAAGATCCGCAGTAATTAAGAAATGTAATTTTTGTGTTTATAATCAGGCAGTAATTATAAAGTACGGAAGACCAACCAGAATACAATTTAGTTGCATTATTTGAGTTCAGCATTGTTCTCCGCTGTTAAGGCCTTACTTTTGCGAAACATGTATGGAGAAGTTAATTTGATTTTTCAATTTCAACTGAGAAGGGTACCTATAAGTATCAGTATCATCTTATGAAATTTAACTACTGCTAAACTTTAATTTATATGATCTTATTTTTATATTAATCTCAGTTATGACATTTTTCCATAAATGAAATATCAAAATTAATAATAAAATGAATGGAAATACAAATAACAGTAAAATGTAATAAATGTACATAAAATTATAGTATTTTATGTACACTTCTGATAAAATTTCATAAGAAAGGTACCTATAAATTAATTAGATACTTTTTTCTTATGAAATTTAATCTCACTCTTAACAGTCTTATTTTTTAATTTCTTTATATTTTCCATAAAGCATCGTAAACATAAAGATGAAAGCTAAGTACAAAAAAAAAAATAAAAAAATTAGAGTGCTGAAAGTTTTCCTTAAAAGTAACGAGGTAAATAATTTGTTCACTTAAATCTAAATAATTTCACTTCCTTCCATCTGTAAAAAGAATTATCCTCCCGTAAGTTATCTAAACATCATGAAAATGTCTTTCGTCACCTGTCAAACGACGCGAAAGGTTATGACCTGCTTTGTTTTATTTTCAAATTACATTTTTTTCGGCGCAGAAGCTAAGTTAAGCTTGGTTCAAAATATTTTAAATAAACATTATAGTTTCTGATTTTATTAAAATAAGTTTTGAAAAAATGATAATTGATTTTTAAAAGAATATCAAAGTCAGATTTTCATCTTCAATGGAAAAAAATGATTGAAAATGAGTGATTATCTGTCCCTTTTTTTTTGACAAAAAAAAAACAAGATTTTTAACGAAAATTTCGGACGTGCTAGGAACGATTAAAAAATGGAAAAAAATACCCCAAAAATACTTTGATCTTTCCTCTTTAATAATAATATGAACATTAGACGATAAAATTTTGTTTTCGTCAAGTTCGGCGTCTTTTTCATCATGCTATGCTCTTTTTGTTTACATTTCGTAGAGGTACCTATACTAAACCAATCCAAAATCTCTTCCAAGGAATCACCTGTCTATTTTTATTTTTTTTTATTTTTTTTGTCTATTTCAGGTGGCAAAAAATGTCCTGCATGTGGCAAACGGATCTTTCATGAAAAATGGAAAATCACTCCTGAATTGGCTGAAGCCAGGTGGGCACATAAACAAGCACGGGACAGAGAATTAGAAGAAGTGAAAGACTTTATGGCCTGAATAATTTCATGGCCAGAATGACATTTGACTTTGTGGTATTTTGGGTGGGTGGGGGGTTGTTAACTTGTCCCACTACTCCTTCCTCCAGTCTAGGCCTTGGTGCTGATGGTTTTGACATCAATGATCTCTCTGAGATGGCTGCTATAAAGGACTGCTTTAATAGAAGCCATTGATGACCAACCACACAAACCTGCAAGGCACTACCTTTTCTGCTCATAATGCAAAGAAAGGTTTACAATAAGGGGGCAACATTAATGGAAATGGATTGTGAAGGCCACTTTGAAGGTGGGTGGGGATTCTAAGAAAATCATGTCAAGAGATTTTATAAATCTTTTATGAAAATGTTTTTCATGTCAGGGAAATCATTTCAATAAAAATTTGGGATTATGTATTTAAGATCAGGTTATGGTATATTTCAAATATTTTTAAACCTGTGAATCCACAAAATGAAACCATGGAAGTAGCTGTTGTGGACAAGAATCATAACTAATTCCCAATATACATTCAAGTGTCCCGTAAAAGCATTTGGTCTACAGGCATTAGTGTTGACAATTCCATAACATGATTCAAATATCAATATATAACCTTATTCAAACATTTTCAGCAATCTCCACTTGCTATAATGGTGTAGCTTTCTCTACACTTAGAACATTTCACTTTTAACAACGATGTTTTGTCTTGGACAGCTAAGTTGGAATGTTCTAAAATTAATCTTACATTGTGATAAGATTACTATAAATTAAAGTAAGATTTTCTCATTTGCCAAGTTTTTTGAAGGACAATTTTCCAAATTCTTGCTCTTAATTAAAATTGTATGTCATTGTGACATCAGCTACAGATGTATCTTGTAAATTTCTTCTAGTATTTTCAAATATTGGATTAGCACTCCATCTTTATTTTAATAGTTCACTTTACTGGACTATTGCCTGCAGCTACAATTTTGTTACATTAATATTTTCAAAGAAATTTTCAAAAGAGCTCACTATTTTTTTTTTTTTTTTTTTTTGAGTATTCTTTACCTCTTTAAATAAGTTAAAGCTACTGTTAATTTATTTTCTACTTTTAACACATTCAGTGTCAAAGAACGTTAATTAATTATTTTGCTATTTGTTAAACACCAAATGACATTAATTAAATAATGCCCCCACCCTTTTTGAAATTCTCACCTTCATTTTGTCCTCTATACACTGCTGTGACTAATACCTGTTTTCCTGAAATGCTAGGTCTCTGAAGAATTAACAGTGTTCTATTCTTGGGCTACACACATCAACAAAAAGAATTTTAGTGCTGAAGGCATTAATCCTGCTAAAAATTTATTGTTCACCCAGTGGCATAAGAACAAAATTCTGTTGACAGGAAGGATCAAGATAGACAGTTTTTTCTGATTTATTAGATTGATCTGAGAGCAGATCATATTAAATGATAAGTTTGAATGTACAATTATTGCTAAGAAACTGCTGCCTATATTTTCCATTAGCCAAATTTTGTCACTGTCATTTTTTTTAAACTCCCATTACACAATACATTCATTTTTAGAAAAGCCAGCTAGTGAAAAACAAACATCTGATGAATGACATTTGTACATCAACTATTCTGTGAACAGGTTTTCATGTTCAAATATAATTGAATGTCTACATGTTTATAAAGACCAATATATTTGTGTTTAGTCTCATCACATGATTGGAGATTGAACTCTAGTACTTTTTATATTAAAAAGATAACAAGGTCCTTATAAAACTCATCTTGTATTGTCGGGAATTGAACATGGGAAGATTTTAGTAATGTACTGAATGTGTAAACTGTATATTTAGAGATGATGAAAGGATAATGGTCAGAAATGTGATATCACATTTTTGTGTTTTGTACATTATTTTTGAAAAATGAATCTTTCACTTAGCCATCTGTTGAATGGTTTCTCAAATGGGAGAGGTGTTTTATGATTCTCATAGACAAGTTTGAAGTTTTCTTTTACTACTCTGTGCAAAACAAAAAATCTGATATGTAGAAGCAAGCTGGTAAGCAAGCAAGGTTAATATTCATTTGAATTATATGATAAATTACAGAAAATAATCATTAGTTCTAAATTGATAAAGGGTTTGAAATTCATTTTTTTCTTTTTTGTCAATGTTTAACCATTGTGCCTGCAAAAAGAACAGTATGTGAAAAGGATAGGCATTTCCTTAACACTGCTATTACTATATAAGCTTTTAATTCCATCAGCAATGTTTGTTTTTAAAACATGATGACTAGAATTTTTATAAAACCCAAACATATGAAAGCGGTAAATAATAAATATTGCATTGTAGTTGGTTTATATATTTTGATAATTTTATACATTTTTGAATAAAAAGATTGCTTTTCAAATTTATTTCTTTATAAAAGGTAAATATTGCATTGTACTTGGTTGAGATATTTTATAATCTTGTAAGTAAACATTGCTGAGGGAGTCAAGAGTGTATACAGTATAATAGAAGTGTCAAGGGAATAACCATCCTTTTGACAGTTTTTTTGCAGGTACCAGGGTTAAACGTCACCCACCACCACACCACACACACACACCATTTTTTTTTTTTTTTATGAACATTCACTTTTATAATCTAAAAAATTTTTTTTTATATGTAAACAAAACATGAAAATATATAATTTTTAACATTTAGGACAAATCAACTGTAAAATTTACCAATTGTTTTTATTGCATGACAAACTTTTCTTTTCAGTTGGCAAATAGATATCATTTAACTCTCTTCACATTGTGCCTTTCTTCTAAAACTTGATTTTTAATTCTATTTCAATCTGGCCTTTCCTAAAGACAAACAAATGATGAATAACTCAGTTTCATTAAGACTGAAACCTTTCTTGTATTTTGATACCATTTTGGAGCAAGAAATCTTTCATCACTATATTGTATTTTTTTTGCTTTCACTTTAAATATGTATGTTCTCCAATGAGACATTCTAAAACTGTCATATGATGCTTATGAGAAACCCTACTCACTTGTAGAAACCGGTGTTACCAAATTTGCAGCCATACCCCCCACCCCCAAATGTTCATATGCTACATACATTTTACATGTGGAAGGCTGCATACTAATAAAGGGCTCTTTATTCTAGTTTAAAATAGATAACTAATGCAATTTCTTACATTAAGTTATCACTTATAATATCCTCCTAATATAAAACTGAATTATTCCATTCTTTGTATTGCATGATTTGTCTAGACTTTTCTCCAAAATATATGTGAATTGTCAAAAGGTTTATCTACTCTTTCTGGACTAAACTTTAGGTTTGCTATGACTTGTCTGACATTTTCTTAAAGAAAATGACAAATATCAAATCCTAAATTATTTTTAACATTATATTCTTAGAATATAATTAGCATTAGTAAATTTATCAAGATTCCTTCCTTCATATAACTGATCTTTGGAAAGATTCTTGTGTGGACTGTTTTGTGTTGTAAATGTAATATAAAATGATTAAAAAAAAAAATCTTGAATATGCCAAAATAACAAATTTTCAAAGTTATCTTGCTAAAAACTGAATACGGGTCAGAAAAATTATCTCCTAGTTTGAGCAGAGGTAAACTTTTTTTTTTTCTCTCAATTTGACAAAATGACTACTGCTTCTTCAAATATTTAACCTTTCCAACACAACCAAACTTTAAAACAATACTTAAATGGATTGATCCATGTAGTTGTGTATCTAATATTTTTGGTAAAATCTCTTTAAAGCAAAAAAAAAAATTGGGTTCTCATTACCTTAGGATTTGTGTTGTTGAATGTGGTGAATTGATGTGTAGCCTAGGAAATAATTTATACTTGCACCTCCATTCCTCAGTTTTTGTTGTTTTTAATCTATCTGTTCATAATGTGAAAGTGTCTATACCTTTTTCACACTTTGTAATTTCAAACTGAAAACATGTCCACAAACTAAACAGCTAAAATGATAAAGATCTCTTTTGATATAAATTGTTTACCAAACCCTTGCTATCAATGAAAACAGCTAACCAGTAAATTTAGTGCAGGAAATTCCTCTCTTCCATGTACATCCAGATTTTATCATTATTAATCGTTGGTTTTTAGTTGGTGTATGTTTCTGTATATAGGTGTGAATGAATAAAATGGTGTGGTGAATATTTACTTGTATATATTATTTTTTAACAAAAACAAATTTTTATTATATCTAAGGAAGCATGTATAACTTATTGAAATATTATTAAGGTTTTTAAAAGACAGTTCTCACTTGTTTGTATATTATCAATGAGTCATCAATTACCAGGTTTTTATAATGAAAATACATTGTTGACCAGTTAAATTGTGACTAAACAAATTCCAATCATAAACAAAACTTTTGATCCTTCAAGGGTGTAAGAAATGTTAGCATTTAGACCCAAAATTGAAATGCACCCATCTAAAGATTGCATTAACCATATCTTACCAAGTATTTTCATAATAGGAATTTTACTTAATGCAATATGTAGAGAAGGATTTGCAAAGCTAAAAAGTATATGGGTAAAAGGATCGGTGAACAAGTCCTCTGCCTACCTGCTTCACTAAAATTTAATCTGAAAGAAAAATATATCGAACCTTACTGACAGAAGAATGTCCATTTATGCCATTAACCAAATTTTTCCATCAGTCAGGATATATTTCAACTCAGAAAAAGATTTCTCTCTTCCCATACTAGAATCTATCGATTCACATACCCAGCTCAAGGATCTTTATACATTTTATCTAAATATGAAACCAGTTTATAAATTATTTGTTGCTAATCATAACTGCTCATTGAATAAAAACATGTAAAAGTCAAATCTTGTACATTATACTAAAAAAAAAAAAAATATTTATTCTACTTTTTGGTTATAGAAATGAGTAAATTAATAAGTCAGTGATTTTTTTTCTTGATAAAATTTAAGAAATCACAATGGTAGATTATTTTCAAAAAAATAAATATATATAGATAGGTACCTGAAAATATGTTATACCTAAGGTTTAAAATGCATTTTAAAAATGAAAAATCTTTCTTTTAAGCTTTTCTTTTAGTTTCAAGTAAATAGATTAAATTTTATATTTCCTATAAGCAAATACTTTGAATTCAAACTGAATTTAAGTAGATTGGAATGATTTTCCTTTGATTATCAGAAAAATTGATAAAATCGTTCATATTGACAAATCTGTCAACCAAACATAATTTTCTTTATTGAAAATATCTTTCAAAAATAAAATATACTTTTCTGAAACATTATTTGAGAAAAATTAGCTGATTTAATGTTTAGTTTGAATTGAAACAAATATTACTTTTAAATTTTAAAATACCACAGAAAAGTAGTTTTTAAAGTGTTGATACAACTAATGTCAGCTTGATGTTTGGGAAATTTATATAAGATAATTGTAACATGACATACATAAATGCCCTATATATAAAAGAATTCTTATGAAAATGCTTGTTGAAGAAAAGTTAGAAAATTACCAATGAATTTCAAATCTACTATAGTTACCATTCTTATTTTCTGATACTGTCATGTATGGACATCTATATTTACAAAATACTTATATATAATAAAAATTCAAAATTCTTTTTAAATTACTGGGGGTCACTGAATTGTAGTAAGCTTCTCCATTTATGAATAGTTAATACAGTTTTTACCTAATAACAATATTACTTGACCACTACAAATAAATACAGAATTTTAAAAGTTTATAAATTATAATTTTAAAAAAAATGAAAACAACTTTTGCAAAATTTTATTATTCACTGAAAAAAAAAAAAAAACTTTCATAAAATAATTGTATCCATAGTATATTCTATTCATAGAAGCATAGATGATGATAATAAAGGTTTCGATAACCTTTATAATTATACAATTCACAGCAGATTTTCTCTAACTGGAGGTCCTTTTTGACAAAAAAAGATTGATTTAAATTTTCCATGGACTTGTCCTTATAACTAATATAAACAAAAAAAAAGAATTTATGGAAATTTCATAAAATTACATAAGTGGGGCCTGGCATGTATAATAAAAAAAATTTTACAAAATTAATCTCATTCATTTGTGAATAAGTCCTAAAAGTTTCATTATAATCCAAGAATTATCTGATTTTTGCAAGAATATCTAAATCAATGTTTTTTACTGCAAAAAGCTGCTCAAATTTCTTGCACAAATCTACTGTCCCTTGTTGGCACCAGAAAAACAATTTTTAAACAAAATTTCAAACATTCTAAGAATTGAAAAAAAATCCTTGATATTTCTTAATAAAGATTTTGAGGGTAAAACTTTGTCTTTTATTAAGTTTGGGGCATTTTTTTCCTCATGTATGCTCATTTTTTAGCAAATCTGTGGATTTTTTTTTTTTTTTTTTTGAGATTAAAAAAAAAAATCATGTTTGTTGAAAATTTTAACCAGGCAAAAATGGACCATTGTTTATATAACTTGATTCTTCCTCTTTACTGTGAACTTACTGGAATTTTATTTCCAAGGTTAAGCAGATTCTCTTAGCATAATCCTGTTTTAAATATAACCATATTCACATCAAACAATATTGAACACTTGACAAGAAATAAAATAAAAAGTGGGCAGGGGGTGCTCCTACAATGCCTGTTGAAAGCAAATCATTTGTATTTATTTTCTCTTACCTGGATGATTTTCTTTTTCAGATATATGAAAGAAGTTTCATTGTTTGCATTAGCAAACAATGAAACTTCTTTTTCCCCGCCCCCTCGTATTTTGTGCATTTTCAACCAAAAATATTATATGTTAATCTAAAATAAGGAACTAATTTCAAAGCATTCAACATGCTGCCATATCTGGGCTGGATGGAGCTGCGCAATTTTCACCTTCTCTAGTGATCGTTCAAAACCATTCATGTAGTCGTGAAAAACCTTAACCCTGTATTAGTCAGGTGGTGTTTTGTCACACCAATATTTTTAAAGTACTCATAATTCTAGTTGATAACTTTTGCTCTCTTCCACTACTCTCTTGACTTAGTGAGGGTGTGTAGCATGCAATGTGGTGCAGTTGTTGTGGGAGGCAGATGCCAGGGGACTATCCATTTTCAGAAATCCAAGGTAACTAACTCGGGTTAAACAAGTACCTGACCTTAACAAGCTTGTGTAAAAGGTAGAGGAATAATAAAAGAGAAACATTGTTGAGAGCTATTAAGGATAGGAAGTTGAGGAGGGCCATTATCATCCACGTCCTGAAAGAACACGGCTCATAAGATTCCCTACTAGAACATATAGCAATTTCACAGAGTTGAATCAACGCTTGGCTCTGTTCAAATGTAAGAAAAAAGTTTCATTGATTATGGTGGACAAGGGAAAATTTTGAAGGTTTTATTCGTTTTTTTTTTTTAAGCAGAGTGATTATATTAAATCAGGTGCTAGATCTGCTAAAAAATATGTCAAACAATTCTTCTTGCCAGAATCCACTTGGATTTTTTCCCCAAGAAACTTCCAACTTCCCTAAAGACTTCAATCTTGACCTCTTTGAGTCAATCGTCTTTCTTTATCCTTATAATTTTCACTTCCTTTTATTTCAAATGTTAACCATTTTGACTGTAACTCTCTACCTTGAGTGGTTCTCGTGACTTGTGAAATTTAATATTTTTAAAAGTGCAAAAAGCCAAGGAATCAGTGTAAATAAAGAAAACCAAAAACATTTAGAGAATAAAATTTTATTCATGTAATACAATAAACAAGTTTATTTCTCAAAGTTGATAAAGATAGATAAATCTGGAAATATTACAAATTTATCACAGAAGAAATAGCACAATGTATGAATGACCAATGAAATCTGGTCAATTAATTTTCATTTGATAAGGTGAGACCACAGACCACCATGACACAGGTGTATATTGGGGGAAGGAATAAAAAGGAAAATGGCAGGGTGGATGGCAGCAAAATGCAATTAAAAACAGCAAAAACAAAATAGGAACAATATGCTTGGCAGATGACATCAAGTTAATTTTTCACTTTTCAATACTTTGCTCCCCTGAAAATAGAGATAAAAAAAAAAGGGATGAGTAGAATTTACCTAACAGATATGTGTGTGTGTGTGTTTGTAAAAATTATTAAGTCTCTCTAAAATCCACAAAACAGGTATCCTGATGTGCCCTATTCAGGAATGGATAGGGTCTCTCCACCCACCCACAAACTGCCAAAAAAAAATTCTAACTCCTCTCCTTGGAACAATCAGTACATCTCATGTAAAGAACTAAGGGAAATGAACAAGACTGACAAATGCATGTTCAGTCTAGATATAAAATCCCTTTACACAAATGTCCCAATTTAAAAATGTCTAAATCTCCTAAAAAAGCATCTAACAATCAAATATAAAGTTGTCTCTACCAACAGCCAAAATGATAAAAATCAGACTCGTTATCTTTATTGCCTGTTGTATGCTCTGGCCTCCAGGTGATATACATTGGAATTTTGGAGCATACAATGGCCCAATACCTCATCTCAGATTTTTTTTTTTATATTTTATATATATATATATATATATAGGATGCGATGGTTAAATTGTTGGCATTTTATATTTTTAATTTCATGCATGCATGTTGTTTGTTTTGATTCTAGCGACTGCACAATATAATTGGGTCAATTGGATATCGTCTGTGAGAAAAAGAGCACCATGATGCAATTCATGTCACCAGAAATTTGGAAACAGCATGCTGTACTGCTTGGCATTCATTCTGGAAGCTCCAATACGGACATTGAAGAGTGTTTGACAGTGCAGAGGATTCAGAAAGAGTTGGAGGAGTCTAATGGTGATTACAAAAGTACAGCAGTTCAGAAAACTCACTGATTATTCTGATAAGAAAAGAGTTCCCAAATTTGTTGGTAAGGACTTCAGACTCAACAAGGAGGCCTACATCAAGTGCCTTGAGGTGGTAGTGTTGCCCTGGGTCAAGAGAGTGGCTGCTGGAAGATCCTATGTCTGGCAACAGGACTCTGCACCATGCCACACAAGCAGGAGAATCCAGTTATGGCTGTCAGACAATTTCTGCAACCATATCATTCCTTATATCTGGCCACCTAACTCCCTAGACTGCAACCCCATTGATTATTCTGCGTGGGATGCAGTTGAGTGAGAGACCAATAAAACTCCTTGCAACATCAAAGCTGAACTGAATGCAAGGATTATGGCAGCATTCACCAACTTAAACAAGGGGACCATCCAGAAGAGTTGCAGGAGATTCTGAAGTCATCTGGAGGCCATAGTTAAAACCAATGGCAATTTTATTGAATAAATTTACTCTTAAGTATTTCAAGATATTTTTGTGTGATTTCGACGACAATTTATCCATCGCATCCTGTATTTTATTACTTAAATGTTATTTATAGTAGATGCTCAGTTTATTAAACAGTATATTTTATTTTTTGTCTACCGGCCCAAATTCTCAAGAAATCTTATTGGAGAAAAATATACACACTCCAGCAGGATATTTTTCTCTAATAAAATTTCTCGAATATTCAGGCCAATAGATGAAAATAAATAAATATACTGTTAATTAAATAAACAAAGCATCTACTAATATATGAGTATACACTAAAAATAACATTTAAGTAATAAGATCTGTGGATTTATCAATAATTAAAAAATCCATCCCTTTCTTTAGAAATATATATTAATCATTTCATCCCAAGCAAGGCAATAATGCCACTAAGACAATGGGTTATTGAGTGTGAGAGAATATGAGAATAAAAAGAAAAAAAACATTATTAAGGAGAGAACAATAAAGGAACAGGAAATCAGAAGATAAATCTTGGCATTGGATTTAAATTTTGGAAGCTTAAAGTTAACTGGAAAGCAAGAAGCCAGAAGAGAGTTTCACAAGCAATAAGAAACTGTTAGCATAGAATTTTCTTACATCTAGCAGCCATTTCAACTGTAAAATGAAACCTTGCTGCCAATCTAGTACTGCATTTTGTAAAATCTAGATATCACAAAGGAGAGTTCATCAGAACAAATGAAAATTTTTATAGAAAAGGCACATGAAAGCTTCATTATGGTGGTAGGAAAGTGACTCAATACAAGATGCCAGGTCAGGACCAATAGTACTGCAGATTCTTTTTTATTTTATATAAATGGCATTTGTCATTGACAAATTTTTAATTCCAGATGCTTAAAAGTTACCAGTTCAGTTTTCGTAAGTGTCTGCAAGCACATAAAACATTTTATTAAAAATTGAAGTTCTTAAGTATATTTGATATTGAAGAAAACTGAAATGGCACAGTATTTAGGATAACTGGCTTTGATGAAAGCATTTGAGTAACTAAATAAAATTAGTAGAAACTTAATATCTTCAGCAATACTGGTAACCTTTCTGAATTCTTTAAAAAGGATTCCATATCAAGCAGAATAAACACTAAAAAAGCTTCTTGAAATATCTTCCGCATATTTCAATTTGTTCTCCAAAAATATCAATTCTCCCCCTCAACCCTCTTTTTTTTTTCTTTTTTTAAATATGCACCTCAACTGAAAATTAAAACTAGTCAATTATGTCTTTTTACATACACTTTCAAATAAAACCAATATTTCAAACTACAGGTGTAAGGAGAGAAACATGCTGGCACATCTGTCAACAGGTCATTTGTGTAGAGCAGTGGTTACCAAACTTTTTTCTCTGGGCTACATTTTCAGAATTATAATTTGCTTGCGCCTGACCACATTTTATGTGATAAAAAGTACATTTAAAAATAAAAAACAGAGGTTTAAAGGGAGATAACTGCAGATTTAAAGTCAGAATATATCATTGATAACTCTCTCCTCCAATTTGCAGACCCTAGATATTCTTAATATTTGATATAATGCAAAAATATCACAAATAAAATCAGTCAATAATTATTTATAGTAGGACTCGTGCATGCAATTACAAGTAATCCATAATAACATTTTAAATTTAGAAATCATATTTATTTTTGACATATGAATTTTTTAAAACTGTTTCTAAATCTTTGATTGTCTTTCAATCATTCCACCTAACCTGCTATCCTCTTGAGGATCACTGGTGTAGAGGATCAAAATATCCAGTTTCAAATAATAACGTCCTTCAATATCATTATTCTAACAAACTCAGTCAGTTATAACCATATACAGAGAAATTAAATATTTAAATTAAAGAAAATAAAGAGTGTATTCATTCCTGACTAGAATGAGTAGGACATATTGGATAAACAATTTTCAAGCAGAACATTTAATTCAGTATGATTTTTGGTTTGTTCAATAGCCAAAACATTGACCTGTAAAAGAATAATCTTTTTAACAAGAAAGGATTAAGATGTCAATAGAATTTTGTGCCCATGATACACAAAACTGGTTCTACTAGCAAGGTCTGTGTTCATTCAAAAAAAGACAACTCAAAGTTAATTCACCCAATTTCTCCCCTAAAACTAAGGCTCTACTGAGTGATATGCACATTAACCCCGCCACTGATCTCGGACATCATTTCTAAATTAAACTCTCATAAAGCAAGTGAAGGTGATGAGATACCAGCCATCATTCTAAAGAAATGTGCTCCCAAGCCGGCCCCAGTTCTCTCTAAACTCTACAACTATTGCCTTTGCAGCTTGCTGGAAGTCCTCCTCTGTAGTCCCTGTTTTAAAAACTCTGGAGAACCTTTTGACCCCTCTAACTATTGCTATATTAGTCTCCTACTGCTTTTTGGTAAAATATTCAAGGTTTTAATCAATGCTTAAGTGGTTAAGCATCTTACCTCTCACAACCTTCTCTCTGACAAACAATATGGATTCTGTTTTACTTGGTCTACTGCTGATGTGCTTATGGCCATCACTGAATATTTATATCAAGCTCTTGATAATAACAGCAAATCTCGAGCTGTGGCTCTAGATATCTCTAAGGTATTTGACAGGGTTTGGGATGTTGGTCTTCTATGCAAGCTTCATAGCTACAGTATTACAAGACGATTGTTTGATTTAATCCAATTCCTATAAAATTGTGAAATGAAGGTTGTTCTGAACAGGCTCACATCCAGGTGCTTTCACACAGATGTGTGTGTGTCTCTCATGGCTCTATACTGGGTACTATGCTGTTTCTGATCTTCATCAATGATCTTCTTGATGTCATCAGTTCCCAAGTAGACATTTATTCCAGAGTTGAAAAGTTAACCTGACCGCTGCTCTTGAAAAGGACGTCCAATCAGTGGTTAACTGGGGCTGAAAATGACTTGTAAATTTTAATACCTCCAAAACTAAACTGCTCTCATTTAACCACCATAGAGTAACTCCCTGCCCGCCATCAGCATGGCTGATGTTCAACTCCAGAAGAGCATTTCACTGCATTGCCTTGACCTCACGTAAGTGGAACAACTACATTGAAACAATAGCTGCAGCTACTGCAAGTTAGTTCATTGTGTCGTGCCAGAAGGTTTTTCTCATCAGAATCTATCTTGCACATTTATAAATCTATCATTCAGCTGTGCATTGAATACTGTTGCCATATCTGGTTTCTTGGCCCTGTGGCACATCTTGAAATTCTTGACAAAATCCAAAGAAGGATCTGCAGTGTAATCGATCCTGACTTGGCATTTCGACTTCAGTCACTTTCTCCCAGACATGATGTGGCTTCCCTCTGTCTTTTCTACAAATATTTTCAAGGTAACTGCTCTGACAAGATTTTTTCCTGATGCCCCAACTACGTGAATTTAAGTGTGCTACTAGATTGGCATCTAGGTCGCACCCTTTTATTGTTGAAATAGTGAAATGTAACAGTCACTTCTACTCCAACAGTTTCTTTTCTTGCACTTCCCAACAGTAGAACTCCCTTCCACTTACTTGCTTTCCTGATAACTAGAATCTTCAAAAATTTAAATGCAACATCAATCCCCATTTTCTGTTGACTGTTCGTCTTTTATCCTTTCTTCAACCCCCACTATAGCCAGTCTTCTCTCACTTTTACTCTCCGTAACCCTCTGCATACTAGTGGCACTCCCACCTTGTTTGGTGTGAAATTATTAAAAAAAAAAAAAAAAAAAAAGATGGATAAAGCCCATTCTTTTCTTCTGATTGCCTGGTTCACACACTTTTCTCATCTTTTGAACAGGTGTTGAAGTATGTCTTTTTTTTTCCTGTTTAAGATTGCATTTCCAGTTCCTTCTCCTAAATTCTTCTCATTCCCTTTCACTCAGAGTAGCCACTTGTGTTTTAGTGGCATTATTGCCTTGCTTGGATAAAATGATTAAAAAAAAAAAAATGTTACTCATAATTTCTAAATATTTCTTAATTGAAAACTCAGACATCCATAACACAGCAAAGATGAAATGAATATTCTTGGAAATTCCAAAGTACTTCTCAGTAAAGGTCCAGCATGAGTGAAGGTAGAAATTGTTTCAAAAAAGTTTTACTCCATTTACTTTGTATTAATCCATAATTATACAATTTAGTAATGAAATAATTATTCAAAATATTCTATAAATAATCCACAATTTAGCTGTCTTTTGTTGTGAGATGGACAAGTTTGTGTCACAGGCTGTTTACACTAGTGTAAAAATAAATTCAGTCGCCAATGAATACTTGTGCCAAACTAAGCTTTGTTAATATCTATAAACAGTATGCAAATGAAATGCGATTCATTTTGTATAAATTGTAAATAAGATACTAAAAAGTTACTAAAATTTGAAAAATATGGCTCTTTCATGACTTTTCCTGCTTTCAAAATTTATTAAACTTAATTTAGTTGGGGACTAACTGTATTTGCAAACTAACTCTGTAACATTAACTATCATACAATGGTACGTGGTGGACGAATACTAGACATTTGTGTCCCGGACAATTGTGTACCAGACAATTGCATCCCTAGACAAATGTGTCCCTGGATAATTGCGTACCTCTAATAATTTTTTGAAGTTACCATACTTTCTTTTCTTAAGATAAATTTTGAAAGAAAAAAAAATTTTTTTTTTAAAGTATTCTTTAATATAGAAATTTACACACCAATATGTTTAATTACTATAAACAAGCAGAAAGGTAGTTACCATAAATAAAAACAAGAGAAAAATTTATTTTTTAAAGCAAAAGAAAATTAAGCTAGCAGTTTCAGTTCATTCCAGCAATGCATACCACAAACATCTAATAGATTCTGAATTTTATAGATTATATTTTTATTTGGAACCTATGGCTAAGTTCCAAAATTCAAATACTGATGGAAAAATATTTGTGAACCAAAAAAATTACAGCTATCACTATTATAAGAAAAATGCCAATGAAGCAAAAAACATACTGGCGATGTGTAGAACAATCTTGCAAAGCAAGAATTCATACAGCAAACACGGTTAATCTGTCATTGTATTTTAAACAAAAATAAACTTTTGATTTTTTTTTTTTTTATTTCATTCCTTTTTTAAAATTTATGATTACTACCTTTTTTTTTTTTTCAAAATTTATGTTAATTGCCTTCAAATGCTTCAAAAAATTATTAACTGTACGCAATTATCCAGGGACATATTTGACAAGGTACACAATTGTCCGGGATACAAATATCCAATACACAACTGTCATAGAACCAATAGTAGGTACACTCGCCACTACACACACACATTCTTGAAGATAGTACAATGGAATGATGAAAAGTGTTTGGCCAGACTCAAAAGAGAAAAAAATTCTGCAGTTTGGAAATTTAGTCCGGGTTTGCAAAGTGGATTCAGCTTCCTTCTCAGTATTTTAGTTTTTCAGTAGACCTCAGATTATGAGCAACATGCTCAACAGAAAATACAAATTCAAAAACTCCTATATCAATAATATTTTCTGTCACAAATGTCTTAGTTATAAAAATTACACAAGAATTTATCAAATATATATTCTTTTCAATAATTTAATTAAAGAGAATGTACTTAACTGAATGCTGATCAAAACTTTATAAATTTAATACCAAATATTTACACTAAATAGAGATGCAAAGATTTGACAATGTTAACTAATGAACTGCAGCAAAAACAACAGAAATCTGTGTCATTTAGAGTTAGTGGGTTAAAAAATACCAGATAAGTTTTAAAATGTTTTTAAATTTTAGATGACATGACAAAAGTCCTTCAAAAGTTTAAAAATAAAAAAACACCACCAAAAGTTTCCTGCAAATATGAACCATAAATTTTAACAAAATTCTAACAAAAACTTCTGTAACTGATCCTTTATATTCTGTTTAAAACAGCAAGGCTTACTTACTGAAACTAACACAGTTCTAATTTAGAGATATTAATCTAAGTAAAAATTCAGAATTTTTTTTTTCAACAGAAAATTAAAGACAAAAATTGAAGATGAAGAATTAAAAAACTGAAAACTTACATTCCACTCACTTTCTGTAAGGATGCCCACCACTGCTACAATTTGGTACTGATCCTTTGTCATGCTGCTTAGATATTTACGAAGAGGCTGAGCCAAAACAGCTGTTGGCCTATCTTTTAATTTCTCCATGTGAGCTTTACTGCAGGCCGGATCAAATACTAACAGAGTTATGTTTCCATTCTGATGAGATTCCTCAACACCAATCACAGTACGACTATGGCCTTGGATAAGAAAGAGAATCAAATCAGTTTTAAATCATAATTTATTAGGACAGAAAAAAAGTATAGTATATGTGTTTGTAGGCACACACACAGACACACATATAATATATATATATATATATATATATATATATATATATATATATATATATATATATATATATATATGTGTGTGTGTGTTTCATTAAAGACAACTGACAAGGTAGTACGACTGAGCTTTTTATTTAATTTTCCTTGTTTTCCTATAAGTGTTTTCTTTTCTAGCCATAAAGTGTGTAAAAATTGTCCAAATGTTCTGCATATATGAGTGCTTTCAGCTATTCTATTAGCCATTATCAAGGATATATATATTTTTTTTTATACATGTTTCTAGAGTGATAAGAATGTTTTTATTTTCCAAACATGGTCAGCACATTGTGGCCATGTTCATAGTTGATATCATTATGTGTTGTTTTTTTTCTTTTTTATTATTAGTGCTTCCATTATTTTACATGTACATAAAGCTATTGTATTTTCTACAAGTATGTTGCAGATGGGGTTTAATAGGTTTCCATATGTGTTCAAATGAGTCCTAATTGAGCTATGGTCAGAGAGGTGTAATGCGTGTGTGCCAACAAGAGATTGTAGCATCTTTACAGATGATTCCCTTCACATTAATTGTACATCACTGAATTTATCTTTTTTAATCATTTCCCCACAAGCAAAGCACTAAAGTGACTAAGATGCAAGGGGTTACTGAGTATTTGAGATTATAAGAAAAATAAAAATGTTATAAAGGAGAGAAGATGATAAAAGAACAAGAATTAAGAAGACAGAAAATAAAAATTGGCAATTTAAATTTTTGAAGATCAAAGTTGACAGGGAAACAAAAAGCCAGAAGAGAATTCCACAAATGAGAAGAAACTGTTAGCATAGAACTTACAATTTCAACTGTAAAATGATGAGACCTGCGAGCCAATCAAGTGCTGCACTTGAATTCATAAAGTCGAGGTACCATAAAGCTCATCAGAACAATTACCATGAAAGTATTTATAGAAAATACATAGTCAACTTGTAAATTAACATAGGCCCTAAGGTGTCTCTCTAAACCAGTGGAGGATTTGCATGGCTTGAAATATAGGTGACATACAAAGGAGGTTACCTTGACAGGATTTATTAGATGAAATTGAGTAAAATCATCTACGTAGACCTTCATATATCTTTTCAAAAATTTTGCCACACATTTTCAATTGGTGCTGGATTGATTGAGTTGTTTTTACAGCTTATCAACTTTTTGCAGGTTATTTAAAGCCAGGAAATATTTTTAGATTGTAAGAAGACAATAATAATTTAGATACAAGTCCTATTAATTAACCCATAACTGGGGGGAAAAGGTGGATTAATACATTTCCCAAGAGTATTTGTGCATAAGGGAATATAACAAACCTAATTCCAAGCCATTATCCATTACACCACCTGTACATCCAAGCTTACAGTACCTGGTATTCCCAAGAGGTCACCAATCTAGGTCGTGACCAGGTTTGAAATTGCTTAACTCATTATCATATGAGAACAAATGTTTCAACCTGATATGGCTGTAAGCCATTGGACTTGGAGAATATATATATAGATTTTTAGACCATGGCACGACAGCAAAATGCTGAGGTGCCCTTAAAAAACAAGCCACGTCTACGGCAATTTTTGCCTTCAACTTAAAAAAAAAAAAAAATTTTCTTTAAATTAAGAATGAAAAATTTTTTTTTTTTTTCATAAGTTGGCTGTGGGGATTTTCCAAGAAAAAATTTGACTAGAGCCCTATGCAGATATATTTTCAAAGAAAAGAGGTAGATGAAACGAATATCATATATATATATATATATATATATATATATACACACACACACATTACATAGTAATAATACTTTTCATTTTAAAACAGCAATACTTAAATAGACTGGCCCCCTCAAAAAGGAAAGAAAATTACATAGTTGGGGATCAGTTTCACATTGTATTTATATCGTAAACAGGACACACCATCTAAAATAATAGAAATTTAATGTTTTTCAATTCTGACAAATTGCCTAAGTAGAGGAAGTTCTGAATGCTAGGCAACAAAAATTAGCCAGGAAAATATTTTTAGCTATAAGAAATTACTAATTAATATTTATGTCGGAAAGTAAAGGATCATTTTGACATTTCATTTACTATATATATATTTTTTTGTTTCAATAGTTATTTTGATTTTATGCTGAAAAAGCTTTATATTTTTATACAGTAATACAACAATCTCATTCTTTCCACAACATATTGTAAGCTAATAATGTTGTAATGTTTGATTTCTTTTTTGAAAATATTCCACTGTAATGTATCATTGCTAATAATTCTAGTCATCATAATCTATGTTATTTGTCCATAAAAATAGTTAATTTTAAAGCTTTTTCTTTATTTTTATGAATTATTTTAAAGATTTTACATTAACTTTTTACAAATAAAAAAACAAATTTTTCAAATTATAAAAACATTGCTACGGTGACCTTAGTCATTTCTGTGGTGCCCTCATTTTTAAGGGGTACACCAAGGCCATTTTTGCCTGCCCCTCTCTTAGGCTAGACTCATCCCTATATATATATATATATATATATATATATATATAAATTTTGTTAAATATGACAGACAAGGAAAAGTTAATTAATTTTTTATTTAGTTCTTCCAGCATTTTTAGCTTTTTATTTGGTGGATATAAAGGAGTGCAAAAATTGTTCAATGTCCTGGGCGGTTTCAACCACTTTAGCCATTTTCAAGGGGGTTTGTTTTAGGCGTTGTTTCCTTCTCTTTATGTTTTGACTCTTTAAGATGTATTTTATTTTTGCTTTGTTTTGAATACCTTAGAGCATTTATCCTGGAATAACTTCTTGTGTTTTGTTAAGTTATAGTTATATTACGCATGTGCCACATTATATGTGAACCTGTCCTTATATCTGAACTACTCTGAAGTTTGGACATAAGGACTCCAACAGAGTGTGTGTGTGATATTTTTATTTATGTTTGTGTTATTTTTATATATATATATATATATATATATATATATATATATATATATATATATATATATTATAGCCTATTTTATAACAATTACTGAACTTCAACAATCCTTTTTTTTTTTAATTCTTAATTTCAAATGCTTAACCTACTGACTGAATACTGAAACTTGCTTAAACAGAATTTAGATTAAAATATTAATTAATTTATTTTCCTTACCACCTTGAAATATTTAGTTTGTTATTACAAGAAAATGATTAAACAAGGGATAAACTGGAGTAGTGATAAAGTCAGTGAGAAAGAAAGAAGTTTTCATCTACATGGTCCAAATGCAGTCATCTCTAAAATGCAACCTTTTTCCGTCATTGTTTCAGGATTTTCTGTCTACTTTCAGATTATCTTGGGTTTCTTTAATCATTAGAATGAATTAAACATCTGCTGTATTTAATAAATCCAATTCATGATTATTCTTTGGAAAGAAAAGAACTTCACAAATTTGTTGTTGCTGGTAAATATTTAATATTGACATCAAAACAGCTACTTATAAAATAATGTAATAGACAGAATAGAATTTCAGATTAATTTCTATGCTATGACAAAAATACAGGTTTTAGAACATTTTTTTTTCTTCAAAACACAAATTGGTGATATGTAAATTTATCAAGTAATGTCTATTTATATTAATTTTGCAATTCTTAAGTTATTTCCTCAAAAATCATCTTATTCTTAACTAGCAATTGTTTAACAGCATTAGATTCAGAGAGAAAAAATACTTAGTTTTCTTTTTTTGTATGTTTTTAAATTTCTTTACAAATATTTTAAACTATCGCTCCCCCAAAAAACATTATAAAATAATAGACTAGTTTCATCACTATTTTTCAAACTTTTATCATTTGCCAGGATTTTTTTTTCCAAAGGCATTTTGTTGACAACTGCATTGCAATTGATGTTCAGTCTACAAAAATCAAACTGAAGATCTTGTGCTCTGTCTCCCAAACATAATATCAACTTGTTGGATGCAATGATTGAATAACTTTCACATTTTTAAGTGTATCTTACACATTGGCAATGCATTTATATACAAGACTGTTGGAAATTAAGATCGAATAAACTAAAAAATAAAATTAAAAAATACCAAAGTATTATACACAAATATTAAACTGTAATTATCCTTTCAGATATAAAAGTAGTGTAATGATATTGGCATGGAAAATAGAGTTCAAATATACATTCACTTTCACACTAACATGCTTGGGATAAGCATGACTGTCTCTTCTCCCCAACTAATGGATGGTAACCAGACGAAGAGAATTAAAATTCTGAATTCCAAACTGAAGAAATTAACAGAGAACCACTCACTAATTTTTACCAAGAATGTATAGCAATTCACATAATAAAGAAAAGGAATCTTTGGACAGTCATGATCATCTACATAATGAAAAGAGATGCCATTTAAAAAAAGGTAATTATTCTTCGATCACGAAAAATCTTTACAATTTGTTTAGTTGCTGGTAAATATTTAAAAGTGGAATTCAATTTCAAGGCAGGTTCATACAAAACAAAATGAAATAAGACCGCAAAATAACAAACCTTGATGTTGAAGATACAATGGTGACCGAAATTCATGGCGATCTTTTCTTTTGAAATAATCCCTGATCCACTGAAACATTTTTGGATGGGTTTGTTGCTGACCAGACGGAGAACGGACATCTACCATGCGACATCTATAATCACAAAAATCAGTTATAAAGCAAAATCCATCTGATTGCAGTTAGTGAACTGTCAAAGATTTTGTTCATTTTTATAATTAAAATATATAAATATAATAGTATTAATTTAAAATATTGGCATTTGTAAACTATATTACTAACATTTAGATAATCAGATGAAAAATAAAAAATTCAAGAGCTCTTAAAAAAAAAACATAATTAAATTATTAAAATGTCAATTTAGAAATAACTTCAGATGGCGACTGATTAACTGAGGGATCTCTTGAAATGTTTTATTCTTTTTTTGTGATCAGTACTATGAAATTTTACAGCTAAAATGTTTACTTCACAAGAGATAGCATTTGATATTATTTTTTTAATCATTTTATCTCAAGCAAGGCATTAAAGCCACTCAGATGCAAGGGGGTTACTGAGTGTTAGAGAATATGAGAAAAACAAACACTATTAAGGAGAGAATATAATAAAAGAACAAGAATTAAGAAGATAGAAGATAATGATTGACATTGCATTTTTGAAGATCAAAGCTAACTGGGAAGCAAGAAGCCGGAAGAGAGTTCCACAAATAAAAAGTGTAATAAAAGAAACTGTTAGCATAGAATTTACAGTTACATCTAGCCATGTCAACTGTAAAATGATGAGACCTTGCTGCCAATTGAGTACTGCATTTAAATTCATAAAGTCTAGGTATCATAGAGGAAAGTTCATCAGAACAATTACCATGAAAGTATTTATAGAAAAGGCACAGGGAAGATAAGTTATGTTGGTGGAAAAGGGACCTGAAGCTATGATGCAAGATCAGGGTCAATAACATTACAGATTTTATCAAGAACCTCTAAATAGCACCAGTCCTGATGTGGCAGTAATATTTAAAGGTAGACTTATAAATATGTAAGATAGAATCTAAGATTATAGCAGTCAAATAATAATTTTAAAAATTAAGATAAAATTGTTCTAAAAATGTACTAATATTATTTAAGGGAAGGAAAAAGAAAAATTACTTGTCACAATGAAGCTCCCTAAACTAATAATTAGTAAGCAGTTACTAAAATGTTTTGTCATAATTTAACCAATATTGCTTATTTGCAAGCTGCTTCATAAAAAATATGAATGGCATCAAATATCAGGTTATATTTTCTATTGTACTGCAATATCTATGAAAGTGATTAATAAGACTTTCTCAAATGAAAGACACTTGATACTGTTTGTGGTATTATATAGATAGCAAATCTTGAATGATAAAATGGAAAAGCATTAGGAAGCTGAAGGTTGGCAAGATTATGACTCTAAACACATTGGATGCCAGAAATTTAAAGTTAAGTGTTCCTTCATCTTCAGCATTTCTATTGATGCAGAATTATAATGAACTTTTGTTGCATTTTGTTCATATCACCTACATACGAGGTCTGTCTGAAAAGTAATGGGACTGAATGTGCTGTGTGAGCTAAAGGCAAAAGAAGGATAAGCTGATTATGTTATCATCTAAAATGATAACTTGGGAGTATATAACTGTAATCTTAGCTTGCTGCAATCATTGCATTTTTTTTCCCCACATGCATCTCAATTAAACTCTGATCATTCACATCATCTTTACATAAGCAGCTTAGCTGGTATTCATACTGACTCACCATGGCTGAGCATTTCCATGATGGGGAAAATATGATGGCTTTACTTTTGGCACTTCACTGTACAAAGTCTGTCTAAAAAGTAACAGGACTGAATGTTATGTGTGGGCTATGGGCAAAAGAGGAATAAGCAGATTATGTTATCATCTAACATGATACCTTGGGAGTATATAACTGTAATCATAGCTTTCTGAAACCATTGCATTTTTTTTTGTTTTCACATTTGAGAGTTGTGGCAGGACAAATCATGACTGCTTCGCCATGACAATGTACCTGCTTACAACGTCGTGAGCATCCATCAGTTCCTGGCCGCGAAGAACATCGTTGTACTAGAACAACTTCTCTATTCACCTGATCTTGTTGTGTGACCTTTTTCTTTTCCCCCAAGCACAAGGGAATCATCAAGGAGACCTGCTTCGAAGGCATGGAGGCCATCAAGAAGGCTGTAATGATAGAGCATCCAAGAAGAATCCTTCCAACAGTGCATAGAAGCATGGCAGAGAAGGATGAACAAGTGTGTTAGACTCAAAAGGGGAATACTTTGAAGGGGAACCCATGTAGTTTGTTGTTTGGAATTGAAATAAATTGTTTGTGACACCAGTCCTGTTACTTTTCATTCAGACATTGTATATATGGTTCCATTAATAAAAAAAAATAAAAAAAATAGTCTGAAGAAGTTTTTTTGAAGAACAAAAGATATAACATTAGATATTTTTCCATTTTGTCATTTAATTACCCACCTTAGCAGTTCTTACAAAAAAATCTATTCAAATAATCTGTACATCTAAATGGATCATGTATAAAATCCAGCCTAATTTCAAAAGCAACGATGTTAAAATTTTACAAACCAAAAATTTGAACCAGAGATTAGATTTCAGAATTATTAAAAGCTAAAATGTTTAATCTTAACTGGCTCAAATAAACTAAGCGGACTTAAATGGTAGCCAATCTTAAATTTCAATTTAAAAACAAAAGTAAAGCATTTATCAAAATTTTTAAATATAAATAATTATCAGCTTAAGAGAAAATATAAATTAAATATCTATGTTGTAATATATTAATGCGTAGTGGCATTTGCAAATTACTTTGTACATCTATTTAAATGACCAAGAGTACTACTAACTTTTGCTACTTCATGTTGACTTTTTGTATTGACCATTTCTTTTGATATGTAAATAAGACAACCTCTCACTACAATCTAGATATGACAATTCAAACAAACTATTAATAATGATTTGGAAAGTTGTTTTAAGGCAAACCATGCTATGGTATCTATAGAAATTCATTTGGCTTACTTAAATTTCAAAGATGACAATAAAGCAACAATTTCTGTGGCTCCAATCCATTTTTTTGTATCAACCAGTTTCCATCCAAGTTGCTCAGCTCCTTGTCTGTCAAAACCATTCTGCCAGGCATGTTCTATCAACTGCTGGAGTTTCTTGATGGAAGCTACTCGCCCATTTTTAACTGCAAATTTAATTACACAAACAATTATCTGTAGTTTAATGCTAATCTAGAAAACTATTTTGTTAGTATAGTCCAAGGCAACTTTAGTTCAAGACAATATTCAGGGCATACAAAGTAAAGAATTTACTATCAATAGCTTTAAAGATAAGTTTCTAAGTGCTTTCAATAAACCGGGTTTCCAGCCTTATCATTGAATAAAATTCCTGATTTTAGGATGTCACATAACCTAGAGACAGTACTAAGTATATAGCAGTACCAAAGGACAGCTGAAAAGATTAATGGACAAAGCAACAGACATTTTTATTCAAATATAAATCATATCAATAACAATTTAGAATTTATTTTCAAACAATTTTCAATCTAAAAAATGCATATAATAAACATGTCATTTGATATATGTCAAGTTACATGAGAAAATTCCCTCATTTCTCTGACAATAAATCAAAATTTTAACTCAATAAAAACTTATTTTACAACTCTGATTGTAGAAAGGTATATTCCTTAAGTATTATGAATTTCACAAGTGCATTCATTAAATGACAATGGTAGGAAAAGAAATGCAGAGTTTTGATCACATTTGAGATAATAAATTAACTGTTCCTTACCAAAATCTTTACCATGCATATTGTCAATGTGGTAAATTAGAGAAATGTCTTTACAAAAGAAAATATTGAATGTATTTTACATTTAAAATATTATGTCACTTACAGACAGTTTCCTGTAGGAAATCCAAATGACTTTGCTACAATTGTTCTGATATGTGCCTTGAAATTCAATTAAGAAAACAGCTTGACTATAAGATTTAAACAGGCCTTAATTATTGCAGATTCTACAAATATCTAAACTGGTTGTGCAGGTCACTGAAGAAATCTTCATTTTTTAATATTTAAATGTCTAATCATTGAATAAAATTCCACTGAAATGCCTTGATTTTGGGATGTCACATAATAAACAAGCAGTAACATGTATATAGTGGTACCAGATGGCAGCTAAAATTGTGAATGGACAAAGCAGCAGACATTTTTAATCAAATTTTACTAATCCCAAAAACCCAATATATATTGCATCAATAACAATTTAGAATTTATTTTCAAACAGTTTTCAATCTAAAAAAAAAAAATAAATAAATAAATAAGTAGATAATAAAGATTAGAAAATTCCCTCATTTCTCGATATGAAACCACAAAACATCTTTGAATGTGCTTTGCAAAATAACAAACACAAATTTTTAAAAAAACTAATCCATTTGTTTTAACATCCATCAGGTATAATGAAGCCAGTTGTATCATAATGAATTTCAAATCTGAAAATTTTCAAATGAATCCAGAAAAGAACATAAAAATAGATACAGAAAAATTTTTTTACTTTTAGCAAATTTATTACTGCTATGAAATGCAAATCAAGTAATTTCATTTTAAAGTCTTGGATTTCATCTAAAAATTTGAATATAATTCTAGGAAAACAGACATTTTTTTTAATAAGATTCTGTCTCATACAAAGGGGTTAATTCTCGACTTTCTGTAAGGATTTTCAATTAAGTTATCCTGTCTCAAAGATTTACAGAGAAATAAAAAAAAATTTAAAAAATGGGCTGATTTAGCAAAACTCTGCAATTATTTTATATTTTTTGTAACAGAAAATGATCAAAATTCTATAAGCACTCTGGTTTGTTTACTGGATATATTATAAATATATATTATAAAAACAAAGCCATTTTCAAATTACCTTTGTAATCTCCATACAAGAAACTTTGGTACTTGGGTTCCTTAGCCAAAGCAGAGAGCATCATTTGAAGGTTTCGGTAGCCACAACCCCATCCAGTATCTCCAAAAGAACCACTATAATGGTCAAGATCTGAACACAACCACACATCCTTGTTCTTGCTTTGTTGTTGGTAATACTTTCTTAAAGAAGAAATGATACCTGTAAAAAAAGAATGAAAAATGATCCATTGTGAATACAGACATTTTATGAAACTGTTTATACAGTATGTCCCTAAAGTCTGCACACATAGGCAAAAATGCATATTTTGAAGAAATTAAATTTTCAACAACATTTTATTGGCAAATAACATCTTCAATATGATTTCCATCATTCCATCAAGTTAATGTGCTTTGCAAGATTCACGTGAATTAGACACAATAACTCCACATTGCCATGAATTTTAGCACATTCACTTTTTACACTTTCAATCAAATATGCTGCATCTGTGATTTTCATTGAGTACACTTTCTCCTTTAGCATACCCCCAGAAAAAAGAAGTCAATTCTTTCGACAAAAGCATGTGGAGGAAAAAAATATAGTTAATGAGATTTCCTATGTATCCAAACTTTAGGGACACCATGTATTAACATACTGGGTTGGAACAAAAATTTGTAATGTATTTGAAGTGATTTTGTTTCATATGTGACTGAAATTTATGAGATATATATATATATATATATATATATATATATATATATATATATATATATATATATATACTAGCAGTAAAGCCTGGCACTGCCTGGGGAGTAAACTTCCTCTGAATGGAAGGTCATAACCACCATATTCATTTTGTACACGCATGTAAGGCTGAAGTCTAGTAGAACTGATGGCCGCCCATGTAAAAAACGTAATGTACACAAGTTGTCAGTATTCATCAGCACAATGGAAGAAAAAAATTGTAAGGCTTAAAAGGAAGCAATAGACAGCCATGGAAGCATCAACCATTTGCCATTACTAAGACACCTCCAATTAAAAGTTGTCAAGTTCAATACAAACACGGGCCTTAGGAAGTTTTTGGTGAGTTGTGGTAGATGGCTTTGTATTCCAATGGCATGGTTTTATTATCCCTGAGTGCAAGACATTACATGAAGCCCTGTGTCAATTGCAATGTATTAAAATGCAATAGTGTGAAAGGTAGACGCATCTTTTGCCCAAAAGACGATGTTGCCACTACCACAAACAGAACCACATAACAGAAGTATGGGAAGGTGCCAGGGTGAGTACTTGTAAGTGGCACAAATTTTTTTGTAGTTTTTAATAGCCAGTTGAGGTGAGCATGAAGCAGCCCTTTTGGTAAGGGGAGAAACACACAAATGGTGTATGGCAGAGGATGCATATTATAACTCTGCATGCTGCTATTCTTTTATTATCCCACTTCTTTTTGCTGAGGCCTGAATTGTGTGGAAGCACTCAACTTTCCTGACAATTAAACGAATCCACCTTCCCACATATTGGTTTTGTGTTTCAACTGAATATGGTTACGTGGTCAACATGTAAGTGCAAATGCAGCTATGGTGGGGTTTAAGTGATAAGGGAGCATCTGGTGACCAAGACAACCTTTAATGAAATGTCTTAGTAATGGCAAGTGGATACTATGATGACCTTTAAATAAACCGAGTTTAAAAATGAAGGAACCTACGATGCAGCTGACATAAAGATATGTACATTGCGTTTAAACGTGACCGACCATGGACTACAGGACTTCTGCGTAGGTAATATTTTTAGCTTTGTTTGTTGGAGAATAAACGTAAACATTATTTTTACTCCCAACTCGGAAGCAGCCTACGTAAAGCTGTCCACTGTTCACCTAAATGCAGACCTGCGACACTGAGCATCTGTCCTTGCGATTTGGCCATTGTTGTTGAGCCATGCTTACCATACCCCAGGGATTTCTGAAGCTCTGGCAGACGCAGTAGATCTGGAATTCCTCAAACGACAACTAGCAGTCTGCACAGGACTTTCTAAAGCAGTAGTGCTGACATTTCTTAAACGATGAATAGTGGTTTGTTGAGGTTCTTCCGAAACCCTGGAAGATGCTGTAGCCCCAGCATTCCTAAGACAATGCGAAGGGGTTTGTTCAGGGCTTTCTAAAGCTCTAGAACATGCTGTAGCACCGGCATTCCTTAAACGCCGAAGGAGTGTCTGTGTCGGGGACTCAGAAGCCCTGGCCCTAGAAACGTGTATTGCATTTTGTGAATTCTGTACTAAATACTCTTCAGTTGAAAGTCTAGCGCATCGTGATGACATAACTGATACTACTGATGCCAGCCTTTCAGTCCATTCAGCGGTACTTTCTGTGGAGATGCAGGCAGCAGAGTGTGAGGCCATCTGAGAAAGGTGCAACAAAGTTTGCTCTTGCCCTTGCTGCTCTTGTAGCGGAGACAGCAGCTGTGCACTGTCCAAAAAGTTTTCTTCTCTTAGGCGGCATTTTAACCAATTTTAAAAAGGCAAATGTAATAAAAGGTATGTAGGTTTTTTGAGTACAAAAAATACATGTAGTCTAAACGTAGGCAGGTTAGAGGGATCCCAAAAATGTATGTAACTGTATCAAAAGGGGATTGAAGACAAAAAAAGTGAAGTTTAAAAAATTCAACTAAAGCTAAAACAGTAGTAGGTAATTTGGGAAGGAAATTTGATAAATGCAGAAACGGATGTAGTTATAACTAAGAAGTAAAAAAAAACAGTTTGGATACGTAATCAACAACTTGCGGTTTCTGTAAGAAGCGAATGAAGTGAACCAAGTGTGAGATAATAATTGCAGAAGCGTGAACACGTGGTGTGCGAGTTATGGTATAAAGAGGTGGTTGGCCGGTTGACCTTGAGCACACATACTAAGGTGACGTACGTACACATGTGTGCATAAGAGAACTGTTCATGTGAATGATTGGATGGGCCCAAGGTTAAATGCTTGAAACCGTGCCAATGAGCTCGCAGCAACCTTGAACAGTTGACACAATTGGTTAACCTCCAGCTGGGTTAGTCAAAGCAGTTCACAGTGATGGATGACGTTTCAAAATAGTATCTGGCGACTTTATTGTATCACATTTTTTATTGATAAATATGAAAGCTATGTAGTTCCTTATCCCAAAATAGGCATTGCCTTTTTGATTTACATCATCACCAATGTAGCGCAGTCTCTCAAAGTCAGCCAATCAGAAAATGGGATTTTCAAGCTTCATTTTTCTTTGAAAATTTTGAGCAGCCAGGAGATATGAGGTAGTTTTATTGATCAAAAGTTTAAAATACAAGCATTTTTACACTTCTTACAAACAAAATTTGAAGCAATGTTTATTTTGTTTACTGATGGATGATGAAGGCATTTAAGTAGCACGAATTTATTTGAAAACGTACAAGAACTTTTTGGGGCAGTGATGCACAGTAGTAAAATTATAGCAAGTAGGTGCCTTTTGCTACACATAAACGGCATGAAAAGACATAACAGTCCCCCGGTGTCCCCTCAAATGAAAAAAGGCAATCAAATGTGAAAAATTGGACAATTGGGTGAGCCGATTCTGTCCACTTGGCTTAAAAGTGGTGGCGTGAAGTGGCATGAAATATGTTAGTGATTGCTCACTGAATTCAACCCTATGCTTTAGTAGGTTAAATGGGCCACAAACACCTAAAAAGCAGTAGTTTCACCTTGTTTTTACTGCTTTTTCTGGTAACATTTGACATGTATCTCTGTAAATGCCTTTTAAAATGACCTTGATGTTTACTGTACAAATGCAGAAAACATGGAAAATAATGCATGTCTGCATTGAAATATTAAAAGATCCTTTTTAAAAACCATGGTATGAGTGTTAAATCCTGAAATAAAAGTAGGCTACCTGAAACCTCTACCCCATTTGGGATGCTTGAAACACGCATGCGTGAAACCCCCTTTCACACATGATCTCACATGACTCCAGAGCGTGAATGAGCCAATCAGCAGCAAGCATTATGCATCACACGAGCCACACATGACTAATAACACTAATCTGATTGGCTTTTGGAGTGCAAAGTTCAGCTGCAACAGAAATCTTTCATTGTGATAACTTTTGCATCCGAAACCAAAATATGGCAATTCTTGTCCTTTCTTATTCTCATATAAGTACTTAAATCCGACTTATTTCTAATTATGTTATCACTATTAATTCTAACATGAAAAGTGCCCATATCTTGTGTGCAGTGAACGCACATAATTACACACATGTGCGTCTGATCAAAAATGAAAAATTGATAATATTGATTTAAATACTGACTTAAATCAATTTTTGGCACTATCAAAATATCCGCAGTACAATTAGCAGTAACTGTGTGTCAAATCTGGTTGAAATCAGTTGAAAAATGTAGGAGATCCGATGAAACATATAAACAAACACACACACACATTCTGGCTTTTTTATATATATATATATATATATATATATATATATATATATATATATATTTATTTCTGAAAGGTGAAATTCCAACACATCTTTATGATTCATTTGTGTGTTGATCTTAAATGTTTTTACATTAAAAGTGAAAATGAAAGAAAATGAGATACATTTTCATCATTTCAAACTTATTTCTTGAAAGAAAAAACACTTTATGAACAGTAAAAAGATATGTGATATTTTATGGAAATGGTGCCATAGCTGAGAGTAATATTCTTAAGCAGTTCTCTAGGTTAAGAAGTGGAAATTTGGATCTGGAAGATAGAGAATATTTTGGCAGCACTGCAGTCATTGATGATTAAAAATAATCTAGGTTGTTGACCATGTTTGCCATAGTCTCTGAATATGGAATAACAGTGAAGTCCGTAATGTGTTCAATATCAGAGTTTGGCAGTGAAGATTCAGAGAAAGTAGCGGCTGTTAAGTAATTCTTTAAGTCTTCGATATCAGGTTGGCAGTGAGGATAATGTGTGAGAAAAAACAAAATGGCTGCCTTTATACACGTCGGATTGAATATTTTGAGCTTTCTGATTGGTTAACCCTTCTATTGGTAAACTATAAAATGAGTCAGCTCATTTTGACTGGCTCACTAGTACAAAGATGCACAAAAAACTGCAACACAGGTAACATGACACAGAACACTACAAGAAAAAATTTAATGTTCTCTTTTCAATGGTAACAAAAACCATTTTCAAAAAAGAACAATGGAGAAACGTGCCTGCAATAAGACACAATGTCAAAAGGACAGTTTTTCCCATGACACAGTTATTTTAAATACTTTCACTCTTTAACAAAGTTTATTGTTTTAAATTGTGATAAGAATTGGAACAAAACCTAAACATATGATGAAAGTGAATTTATACATTTTTTTGTTCTTGTGAATTGACAATAAAAATAATAAATACTATTTATTGGATTGTTTTAGCAAGGAAGTCTTTTGTGAAATTCTTCAAAGATCAGTCTTCTTTGAACATTATGAACTGTGATACAAATTCACAAACAAAGAATTGTGCCAAATAACAAAAACCACATCACTTGAGGACTACAAACAGCAGCAACAACTAAAACAAATAGCAAATGTAACTCAAAGAGAACATAATGACATAAACAAGATTTTGTTGACATTCCATACTACTTCAAATAAAAGTTTATACAGAGAGAAATATTTTCCATCATTAGTCTGGGAAAGAGTAAAAAAAGGTTTTAAAAGTCTGACAGTTAATATGGAGAAAATATTTGTAAACCTGATCAAAAATTAGTAACTTTTTTGAAAATGTATGGAATAGAGAAAAAAAATCCTTACCTTTAGTACAGGAAACTCCATCATCAACCCCAGTTACCTGAGATTCAGACATTTGGGATTTGTACATATGATATTCAAATGGACTGATTTGTCCTCTTTGAACAGCCAAACTCAAGTTGGAATGAAACTGTTTTTTGTAATTTCCTTTGTCAGTCATTCCATACATGTCCTAAGAAAAAAAAAATAAGTACAAATAGATTATTTAATATTTGATGTATTCTCAACACTGGCATAAGTTTACCTATAAAATAATTCTGCAAATTAGTCAATTTGTAGTTGTATAATAAGAACTCAAAAAAAAAAAAAACATGAAAATAATGCAACCCTCAAGATTGTTTCAATTCATTTACTCTGAATAAAACATATTTACATTCTTGATTTACTTTACAATTAAAAAGTTCAAAATATTTAATATCATAAATTGTTGGTTCCAACCTGCTAGGAATGTGTATTTATTGTTGATTTATATACAACAATTTTGGCACAAGGCCATAGGGCAAGTGAGATAAGGCTGGTTAACATTAACTATCTTAGACCTAGCTAATCCGTTTCACAACCAATTCATTCATTCATTCATTACAATTTGCTCATTCACCACAAGAACTCATCTATCACCACTCAATCTTACATGTACCACAATACCACATTTTCACAGGGAACATGTAAAACACACCCATGAGATAAACATTTCATAATGTACAATCTAGTAGGAATGACTTCAAAAAAACAATTTCCCCTCCCTAAATTATAGGCAGAAGCACACAAATTCAGGCTAGGATTTTTTCCTAGACAATAAAATAAACCACTTCTCACTTTAATGTGTCCTGTCTTGAAGTCAGAATGCTACATTTGCTTATCTGACCTTGCTCATGTGTGCGAACCCCAATTTTTAGTTTGTGAACTTTTTACGCTATTACTGGTCCTTTGCTTTATTACTATTAATTTGCCTTGCATATATTGTTTACTTGTTTGATATTATTTTTTGCCCTGTTTTTTTATCTTTTTCTTGTTATTGTTTATTGCAAACTTTGCCAATTCTGTTTGTTGGACAATTCTGTTACTTATTTTTGCATTTAATCATGGCTACTCACTCTACATGAATTATAAACATTAGGAAGTCTACATGACAAATATAAATATATTATGAATTATTGTTTTACAATAAGAAACAGTGATGTAGTTCTCCAGCTAGAGGTTAAATAACTGAGTAAATTAGGTTATCTAGCCTTGAGTGACAATTAGTTTAAAAGAAAGACAACTCAGAATTCCTAACTGTAGAGAAAGCAGCAGGAAATCATTCCACTATCATTCACAAGAGGGCATGGCAATTCAGATAAGAAAAGGAATCCATGGTATTAAAAAAAAAGAACCTTATAGCACACAGAATTTATATCAAGCCCTACACATTTTTCTTGTATATTAATGCCAATATTTTCACACTAGAAAACAGTCATCCCTTTGATATTGAAGTGACTCATTTACATATGAAGTCACAAAGATTATAAATAGCTATGGCCATTACCCATGAGGCAGTTGAGCACATACTATTTCCTGCAAGTCAGTAATACTTACACTAATTACTTACAATTTCTACAGACAATATTTAAAATGATACTCCGAATTGACGGAACCTTTTGCTACTTTAAGGAAAAAGAATTAAGGATTTATTTGGTAAAAGAAGAAGTGGCATTTGAAAATTTAAAAGTTTTTATGGCAAAGAAGCCAGTAATAAAAATATTTGAGCCTAGAAAGGAAATAGTAGTAACAACTGACACAAGTGAACACTCAATTTTAGGAATATTAACTCAGGATGGTCATCCTATTATGCATCTTTTGAGAAAATTACCAAAAGCTGAATTAAACTGCTCAAATATTAAGAAAGAAGTGTTGACCATAATATGGACGACAAATAGAGCTTGTCAGTTTTTGATTGGAAAGAAATTCCTACTAAGGTCTGACCATAGACCTTTAGAATTTATATTTAATCCTAGGAAGGAAATTCCTAAGGTAATGTCTTCTAGAATTCTAACATGGGCCTTAATGTCAATGGTGTTTGATATTGAGTACATGATAGGCAATACCATTCCTCATGTAGACACTTTGTCAAGATTTGTCAAGGTTCATTACTTCTGAAAGTGAGAAAGAGTAGGAAAAATTCAAAGATACTTTCTTACAATTGGTAAAATTGATATTTTGATATTTTGCAGATAGACAAATTAGCTGAGGATATGAAGCAAGATCCCATATTAAACAGTATATTGTTCAGGATAATAATTAATAAGTGGAATAATTGCTCATGGGTAGAAAGGAGTTTTAAAGAGGTTAAGCACAAGTTAACCATAGAAAAGAATGTAATTTGTAATAGAGATGTAGTGGTTATAAAAAGCATACATGGCGATGTCCATTGCAGAATAATGTCTGTGAAAAGGAGATTAAGGCGAGAGGCAGGGTGACTAGGCTATTCTACAGCAGGTGTAAAATGTGCAACAAAAGAAGAAAATTTAGATAGACAAAAACACATATATAGTGCCTAGAGTCTCAACCTTGGGACAGAGTACACATGGATCTTGCCCATGTTAATGGAGTGGGATTATTACTAATACTGCTAGATTCATATTCAGGCTGGCCAGAAGTAATACAGGTTTCCAACAAAAGAAGTTTGACCATAAAACATTAAGGATCATATTTTCAAGAAATGGAATTCCAAAAAGTCTGGTATCTGACAACACTCCAGAGTTCTGTGACAAGGAACTATGCTAATGGTTGAACAAAATTGGATGCAAACCATATACCCTCTCCTCTGTACCTTCTGCAATCAAACAGATTGGCAGAAGGATGGTGCAAACTATAAAAAACGGATTGAAAATATTTGTACAACAGAAAGAAAAGATAGAAACATTTCTTCCTAGATTGTTGCTAAGTTGTAGGACTACCACATGCTGGAAGATTGAAAATCCTGTCCATCTTCATGGGTAGACAAATTAGAACCTAATTGACCATGTCCTATGCTACCAACAAAAAACTATGGTATAAAAAGAATAGTGAATCTAATCTACAAGAGGCAAGATTCATAATGCAAAGTGGACAGAACACTATGATTATAGAAAAAATGTAAATGGGATATTAGTGCATATGGACCAAGTTAGATTGCAACACGATAGTGATGAAGAAATGTATAGCAAGCCTGAAAGTAATGAAGGCAAAAGTGTCATGTCAAGGCAAGACAAACATGACAGTGAAATTGCAAGTGATATAAACTCTGAAGATGAACAATTGTTGGAGAAACACTCCTATAAAAAAAAGAAAAAGATTATGATCTCCCATATCTAGACAATCTCTTAGGGAAAGGGAGGAAAATAGTGAGGAGACAAAAGTTCCCAGAAGTACCAGGGAAAATAAGGGGATAAAAACTCTTCAGTACAGGGAGATGAGGTGACTTATTTACATAAGAAGTCACAAAGACTATAAATAGCTATGGCTATTACCCATGGGGCAGTTGAGTGCATACTACTTCCTGTGAGTAAGTAATACTTACGTTACAGATAATTTTTTTTCAAATTATTATTTTACATAAAACAGATTTATTTATCATGTTTACTGTTTGATTACTCATTTGTATTAATGAGAAAGTAAGCATATTAATAAAACTTAGCTTTCTGTTTGAACTTTTGGGATGTAGAGTTATCATTATTTACCCTATTTACATGCAGACTATTGTCTTCATCATGGACAATGGGCTTCATCAGGTAAATTCAGGCAATGTTTCTGCATCAGATTTTCTGTAAAGTTCAACTTATCTACTACCATGGAAATGCTTTGTTGAGCTTTTGAACATTTTTTTTTCTTGACTGGCACACATGTTTCCAGGACACTTGACTTGGTTGTTTTTGTTTAGTGGCAATATCAACCAACATCAGGTCATTTAATGCTGAAATCTTAATATGAAAATTCAAACTTTATGATTAACTCAAGAGAATGACATTATTTCATGATTAAATTATAATTACTTACCTGCAATTTTTTTTTTTATGAAACAATCTTACAAAATCAAACAAGTGAAAACTTGTTTCTCCTTACAAATTGTTTTGTTTTGGGATTTTTTAACAATAAAATGTCTTCAATTTTACTATAAAAATGTATTGTTGGCCATTTTGCTATAAAAATGTATTGTTGGCCATTTTGCTATAAAAATGTATTGTTGGTATTTTTATACTTTCCCAGTGTTCTGATTTTAGCTTGGGGGTTCACTACTTGCCTAGCTGGGACCCTAACGAGTGCTACTACCTTAGGTCAGAGATGACCTGGGAACAACAACAATTAACAGGTGGTGCCATATTCCTCAAAACCTCCAATTTCTCAATCACAGGCCTTACTGCTGGATGTAGTTTGTTTTCATACCCAGGACTATCAAGGCCAGCTGAAAATTATGAGTGTTCAGAGTGACCAATCAAACGCAATATTCAGGAAACTAATCAGAAGCAAAGCCAAAACACAAAGAAATGATGGAATCATCTCCAAAAAATCCATTGTTATTTACTAGCATAAGGTGTTTACTTTCTTTTAGATCTTGTTCAAGAAATTTCCTCATAAAAATTTAAAGATGTTCCTATGATCTCTATCTATAAAAGGCAGGATGTGTGTGTGTGTGTGTGTGTGTGTGTGTGTGTGTGTGTGTGTGTTTAACGAATGCATGGTTGCAATTTTCGACGGATTTGCACCAAAATTTACATGCACATGCTCCAAGTTAGTGGGAAGGCCAAGACTGACTTTGCATTTCCCAACTCCCATCGATAGTGGAAATAATGAATTTTTTTATGCTTCTACGGCAGTTTTCATGTAGTTTGCAGCCATTTTGTACTGGCCAGAGTGATTGCCAATAGCTGGCTGCCACGAATAGGCAGGAAGATTCTATTGGCCAGCGTGAGAGCCAACAGCTGACTGACACGAATGTTAACTAGCATGCTAGCATGCAAAAAAAAAATCAATAGCTGCATTTGTCACAAGTGGGAAAAATTTAAATCTGCATGGCACTTTACTCCAATTGGCTCATTCACTTGCTTAAACTCAATGTTGATTCTGATTCCGCAGAACTGGGTTGGGTGTGAAAAAGTATTTGTTGTTAACATTCTTTTTTCATTTGGTTTTTCCAGTTACAAGTCCTTTTTTAAAGCTGATCATTTTGTGTTCATTTTGTTTAGTTCTTTTTTCGTAACAGATTTAATGTTTCATATAGAGCTTAGAAAAAATTTGCAGTGTGAGATAGGCAAGAAGTAAGGATACATAGCAACATCAGCACGGCAAAGGGCACTCCTTTAAAGGCAAGGAAGGGCAAAAATATTTTAAGTCAAGTGATAGCGATTGCTGAATGAGTCGTACGATTTTTAAATCAAACACGGGCAATGCCGGGCCATGCTGCTAGTACAAGATAAAAATTAGAAGATTAAATGCAATATAATGAAACCTTTATTAAAAACAAAAATATCTTTTAAATACCTGAAGTTTCTTGAATTCCTTTTCTTCTTGTTCATATTGTTTCTGAAGCATCTCAGCAATTAACCTATCATTTTGTTCAGCTTAAGACAAAAAAAAAAAAACAATTATTTCAACATATCATGCATCAGTACTCAAAATTTTTACAAGAGGAATATTTACATGTATCCAAATATTATTTTAAGAAACAAAAAAAAAATTAATTCATTTTTTATGAAAGTCTTACAATATCAAAATAATGCTAACCAATTAAAAATGAAAACAATTTTGAAAAACATTTGTGTATACATATTAATATTTTCTACTATCAGTGGAGTTATCACTATTGATATTCGAACTAATGTCCAAATCTTTGTAGTTATTATCATATGTTGACCGTTTTGCCCTTTGGCCTTTTTCAGTGGCCTGCCAATCCCAGTAATCATAGACATTGGTATGAGAACAGTCTACCACATAAATTATATAAAAGTTTGTTTGTGAGGCTGTACTGATGATATGATGGTCTTGTCTGAATATACTTTCTTATATATATATATATATATATATATATATATATATATATAATTATCAAAAAAAAAAATTTCGCTTGATGATGGAACAGAGCTTACTTTAACTCAATTTAATTCAAATAATTATATTGAATTTTTCGGCTCTTGTTTTGAAAATGAGACCTTTTATGTCGTGAGTTGGAATCATATTTTTAAATAAATAATTATATTTATGCTCTACTTTTGTATCGAGCACTACTTTTTAAAAATAATAACGAAAATACTAAGGAACTTTGGATTATTTACCTAACTAGTTCCTTCCTATTTTATATATATATATATATATATATATATAAAATTTTGTTTGGGGATTATCAGCCTCACAATAGAAATATATAAATTACAAACAAATCATATACAAAATACAACATAAGTGTAAACTGAAATGATAAAAAGCTTTCATATACATTTCAGAGAAATCTTTGTATATTTCAAAGTACATATACGTATACAGAGATAAAAATTTTTTTGCTTATCTAGTAGTAGCCATAGTCTGTCCCTGGATATCTGCTTCTTTCGGCCATCAAAGGTGAAGAGAGAGAAAATTTGATTTCTGTTTCAATTGGCAACAAAAACGCCTGAAGGGAGTTTTCATAGTTATTTAACTATCTTTCTTTATTGTTAATTATCATTTTTATCTATATTTTAAAGTATAATTCTTTTAATTTTTAATCTTTCTTATGTTATTAATTACTTTGGTTTCATACATCTACATAGTCTAGTACTAAGGGTTAGAGGTTATTTAGTGATTTATTTGTTGCTATCACTACAGGTACAGTTCAAAATTCCCTGAAGGTTACTTGGATCAATAGACACTTAGAGAAGGCCAGTGGTCACAACAGCCAAAATATATCATGACAATAACAAAGAGGAAGACATAGCTTGAAATTTAAATAACGTATCAATATTTGAAGGAGAGAGTGGTTGATTTTGTTAATATTTAAAATGTTTATACAGATAATCTTCAGAACTTTGATATTTGGAGTTCTATACTCTAAAATTTGTGGCAATCGTAAGGAAGCTGGTAATGCAAATTCTTACCACTGTGTAGTGAGTTTAATCTTTACTGGTTATTTTTAAATCAATTCACCCCAAGCAAGGTGGTAATGCCACTAAGACACAATAGGGCTACTGGGAGTAAAAGAGAATGAAAAGACTTTAGAAGAAACTGGAAACCCAATCCTAAACAGGAAACAAGATATAAACCTCTATTCCTGTTCAAAAGATTGGAGAGGAGTGCGAACCGGACAATATGCAAACCTAACTACTTTTATTGAGGAAAAAAATAAAAATAAATAAATAAAAAGTAAATAAAATTTCAGTATCTAGACAGAGATGTTAGAAGTATAGTTTTGAAATAGACTTTTGGTGTTGGTTCCAATACTAGTTGGAATGACTGCAAAACACTTGCCCCTCCCCAATTTATAGGCAGAAGCGTAAAAATGCTAGGACTTTTTCCTAGCCAATAAAATAGGCCAGTTCTCAGTTTCATATGACTCAGTCCCAGTCTGTCTTGAAGTCAGAATGGTACATTTGCTTAACCAGACTTGCTCTTGTGTGTCAAACCCAATTCTTAGTTTGTGAACTTTTTGCCTTATTACTGTTAATTTGCTTTACATATATCGTTTGCCTGTTTTATATTATTTTTGCCCTGTTCTTTTATCTTTTTCTTGCTATTGTTTATTGCAAACTTCAGCAATTCTGTTTATTGGATAGTTCTGTTACTTATTTTTGCATTTAACCATAGCTACTCACTCTACAGAAGGAACCAGGGGATACTCTATATTTGTGGCCCTATTCCAAAGCTAAATTAATCTTAGTAAATAACTATAAATAATTATATTATAAAAGAATCTTTCATGCAAACCTGATGAGAATTCAGAAATATAAATCTTTGTTTTTTTCTACTTTGTTGAGAATTATAAATATATTTCAATTATTTAAATATTTATTTCTTGTAAATACAATACCCCACCTCAGGATTGAAAATTAATGTTGTCTCATTACTTTGTGGTGATTGGTTTGGATTTAAGAACAATTTTGAGACAATAGAAAATTTTAAATCAAAATTTTATTATATTTATTCTAAAAACAATTTAAAATAAAAAAAAATTCCCACTAGCTTTAAATAAATACAGTACACACACACATGCATAAAATATGTGCTTCTTTTTAAACTGGTAAATGAAACCCAGATGAAAAGTGAAGACTGAAGGATTTAAATTTAAATATTTGTTTCATGTATCTCAAAATGTGAAAAAAAATTAAAGGAATTAATTTTGCTTTAATAAACAAAGCAAAAAATTATTTTTCTGTCAAGTCTTGGTTAAAAATACATGAATGAACAATCAACAAACATTTATGTGCTATGTTTTCTGCTTATTATAAAACTAAATTGAAAATAAAAAGAAGAATTTTAAAATAATAGAACAAGGTCTTCTTCTTTATGTACCGTGCCTCCCCCAGGACATAGGCGATCATGGCTCTCCACAACTTCCTGTCCCTTGTAGCTCTTAATAAACTTTGTCTTTCTGCTATTTCTCCTAAGCCCTGTTCTACCATCCATTTACTCAAGCAAATCAAGTATGTTATGCATTGTTTTCCTCTGTCCTGTGAGTATCAGATTTTCCAAGCCCTCCTTTCTCGTTATGTGCCCCAGAAACCTTATCTTTTTCTGATGTTAAATACTAGTTTCTTTTTCGTTGCTCACATGTTCAGTCCACAGTATCCTGAGCATCCTTCTGTAGCACCACATTTCTTTGCTTGAAGTCTTCTATTGGCTAAATTAAACTTTATCATTAATATATCTACTGTATATACTCAAGTACAGTGTGAGTTTTTATGATCAGTTTGTTATACAAAAATAGGTGGAGGAACTATACAAAGGTCATTTTTTTTGAAGAGGCTAAAAGTCATACATTTTCAGTGATCAGTTGCACTATATATAGGAAATATTTTCTAGGGAGGTAAAAATTCATGCAGAAAAATTCAGGGTTCACACTATACACAATGTTGGCTTATACACAAGTATACACAAGTATATACAGTATATAAGAAAAAACAGTATGTATAAGGTTTGCAACTTCAGGTATCTACTAAGAATTTTAGAACATATTCCTCTGGAATGAAAAAGAAGAATACCGTAGTCAAAAAAGTACGAAACAATGGGAACTTTTGCCAAAACTTTCTTTCCTATTTTTAATAATAAAATGATGAGAAAAACAATGCACATTTTTCTGTCAGAAAGTTTTGGTCAAGTGACATATCAGGGTATTGAAAAAAATAGTTTAGAACAAATTGATTGTTTTATTAACTTTTATCCCTCTGTATGTGACTTTTTTTTTAAATCATTTCATCCCAAGCAAGGTGGGAATGCCACCAAATGATAAAAGCTGAACATGATTCAAGAACACAGAAGATGGCAATTGACATTGCATTTAAATTTTTGAAGAGTGTAGTTATCAGGGAAGCAAGTAAACAGAAGGGAGTTTGACAGGCAGGAAATACGAGAAAAGAAATTGTTGGTGTAGAAGTGGCGGTTACATTTACCTAATTGAACAGTAAAAGAGCAGGAACTAAATACTTCATTTGCTGTACAAAAGGTTTACCCTACCACTGAAGGTGACTCTAATCCCTGAACAATAATGTGTTTCAATTTCATAGTTGTGTTGCTATATCCTGCTATGGCAACAGAAAACATTGTGAAATTAACAATAAGGAAACTACAATTGAGCAGCCTTGAAAAAGAATGCAGTGGAAAGGGAAGTAATATTAATAATGCAGAGTGCTAAAGGTTAATGTACAATAAATCAAGCTTCAGCTAAATAATTACACTTTAAAAACTACAGGAAAATGGTTTTAAGAAAATGAAAAGTGAAATAAAAGAAAATCTAAGACTTGGTTCCTGGTTCCAAGATTCTTACCTTCAGTATCTTTAGATAAATATTGATAGTCTGAAATTGATGCAACTATTTCACTTGAATCAGCAGAAGGAGCATCAGTAAGCAGGACAGATCCAGAATGGAGCCCACCACAGTTTGGTGCCTTGATGGAGGCCAGATCAGAAATTGTTGTTGAAACAGGTTTCACAGGCGAGTCAAAATGGTCTCTGTTTATATGCACCTGTAATTCCTCTGTGGAATTCAGATGCTTATTGCAGATAAAACAAGTATGCAACTTCTCTTGGGACTGTCGATCATTGATGTTACTCGTTAATGCTGCTTCCTCAGGTTGAGAATCAAAATGGTCTTTGTTGATATGAACTTGCAAGTCTTCAGCTGAACTAACAGGAATGTTACATAAGAAACAAACATAGAACCACTCTTTTTGATCCGAACTTGGATCATCAGTGGTGCTGTCAAGTGAAGATGATTTAACAAATTGATACCTTGACTTCTGCTTAGAGAAGGAGCCAGACGTCTTCCTGTTCTGATATAAATCATCATGGGAGGATTTTCTTGTTAGTAAATCTTTTGCCTTATCACAGCTTATACTGCAATTTTCAGTGTTTGGATTCTGAGATTTACCAGCCACAACACTGGCCTTCTTAGTAGTAATAGCCAGTTTGCTTGCAACACATATGGTCTTGGATCGAGCACCATTGTTGCCATTCAGTAAAGGCTGAGTGTTCTCAAAGTTGGTCGGGATATCAATGTCCATTGGCCTTGGCACTTTGCCATTGGACTGATTATTTACTGAATTTGTATCAGATCCCAAATCTGAAGTATTAAACAAATCTTGTGATTTTACAGAATCAGACAAATGACAGGCTGTCTGAGAAGTGTCAGAAATGCTTTCCTTTGAATCCATTTTTATATGAAAATAATCCAAAAACTCATGCTGATAATTTAAATCTATCCAGTAAGTAGCAAATTTAAAAAAAAAAATATTTATATATTCAGAAATCAACTTCAAAATTCTCTATATTATCATTTTTTCTTTCTGAATCTTATTTAGCTTTCATTATTGTTGTACAACAACAAAAAAATAAGATTACTTCCCAAATTTGTTGTTTCTAATTAAATCCTTTAAAATAACTAGGTTATATTAACCTTCTTAAAGCAGCAGTATATGAAACAAATTTTAAGGATTCACTTGAAGCCCCAAAAAGATGATTTGTGAATGATGGTAATCTGTAGTTGCCAACTTCAATATGAGCAATTCCTTCCAACAGCACTTGTCATAAGTCGCACCTGTCACCTCTCCATTTAAGCATCTTTATCAATTCTTCTGTATTGCTATTAAATACTGAGCTGTAAAAAAATTAAAAAAAAAAAAAAAAAAAAAGTCAGTCTTTGCATTTTATAACTGAGGCTTCTGAAAAAAATAAACAGATTTGTTAGCATGAGTACCATAATTCTGTGTGTATAAGATAAAGGTTTTTTTAATTCAAATTCATGTCCAAAAGTTGGCTTTGTCTTATAGTTTAGTCCAGAACTCCATCCCATTTATTCCAGGACTCAAAAATCAGAACAAATTGGATTCGTTTGTTTACCAGAGAGATAATATCTAATAGTGGATTGTAACAAAGAGAAATAAATCTTTCATTATGTTCTTTAAGTCAAGTATGGTTCTGTACTTTTTCCAGGTTTTGCTATGTCTAAGCATCTATGTGAGTTTTGAAATCATTTAAAGATGAAAAATATTTAATTTACAATAAAAAATACAAAATGATGCATTAACATGCTTTATCAAAAGTAAAAAAATGTCCTGTTATTTTCCTTAAGTTTTGGACAATTTCTTTACTCTAAAATCAGGTGTGTTTTATACATGAAAATAAGCTTTTTCCCTTGCAGTTTCTCTGCTTTTTAACTGCGTCGTATAATGCCTAGCAATCTATATACAAAGGATTATGGGAATTTTGCTCTTAGGAAATTACAATTAATATTCCATTTCTGTGTGGATATCTCCTTTAATAAATAAATAGAAAATTCATTATCTGTCTATATCTCTGAAATCAGATTATCATTATTTACATTATTTGGACTGTTATTCTCATCTTCATGGACACATGGCCCAGTGGATAAAGGCATTGGTTAGATCAAGTGACTAAACCCAAAGAGTTGTGAGTAAAGGCTACAGCAGTGGTGAACCAAAAAAACTTTGAGAGTTGAGTTAAAGGGAAATAACTGAGACATTTGGAAGAGGCATGGCACAGGGAACTGGAACAATCCGGTGGATGAAATAAATTCCAGTCACCTGAAGAAGGCCAGAGCGTACAATGGCTAAAACATTGTGAATATGGCAATGAAGATGAGGATCAAATAATGCAAATAGAAAATTCATGCGAAAATTACAATTCTAATTAAAATCAAAACTAAAGAATACTGCAAGTTTCAAGTAGGATTATGGCATTCACTCATCCTACCACATGAGTGGAAGATGGCACAAGTCCTTTTTAATGTGGTAGGTCTTCACATGGGATTAAGGCAAAAAAATTGCCCATTTCACTTTGGACCACCTCAAGGGCCAGAATTTAACTACCACTTTAAGTGCAATGGGAAGATGTTACCTGAAAGAACAAGTCATCTGGAGTTTGGCAGGACAGTTCTGATCCTTCTTTGGCCACAAAATCACCAAAGACTGAGATCAAAGATCCTGTCAATTTTTCCCACAAAATCAGATGTTCAACTTTAAGACATCATGCTATTAAAAAATAAAATAAAAATGCAAGAATCTTACTTTGGTATTATTAATACTAATAATTAATAATAATTTATTCAGTAATTACCAAATTCTTTGATCCACCTCTTACCAATGAATAAAAAAAATTGAGTTGAAAGCATGAATTAAATCTGAAAATCTGGTAGAATGAATAAATAAGGAAAACATTTTGGAAAATCTTTATAAATTTAATTTTTCACTATTTACATAAGTAAATTTATTATATTGTTTAAATTCAACAGAAATTTTTTGGAATTAATTAACAGAATTAAATTTTAATTTTGTTTTTTCCAAAAATGAAAACCTAACTACACATTATTCCACTTCCAAAATTTTCTGATGAAATTAAAAAAATAGTAAAATGTGTTAAATTTATAAAGAAAATATCTACCAATTTTTGTGAACAGATTTTTAAATTAAACCAATTTGGCAATTATTCTCATAATTAATACAGTGGCTCCCAAGCCTCATTTCCCTTGCTGTCAACAATATATCTTATTTAATTTTGGTATAAGTGATTTTGTTTTAACATGATTTTATATATGAGGCAAGGATATAATAGGTAGTATTTATTACCCATGACCCAGCAGTGTGTTGTTCAGTATCTGAGTTCATTTTACACCCAGAGCCCTATATGAATGCATGGTAGAGCTCTGTGCATACAAAAATAAAAATAAAAAATGACCCCCCCCCAAAAAAAACAACAGTAGAAATTCCAAAAGAAAAAAGAAATAAAAAACAAAAAATATTTAAATATTTTTGGGGAAAAAAAAGTGGTTCTAGTTCTCATAAGCAATCAATCATAGCATTCCACTCCCAATAATCCTCATAGAAAAGAAACTGGAAAAAGACCCACCAGAGGGTTGTGTGGGCCTCACAGATATACCACAATTACCCTCCGGAGAGTTGTGTGGAAGCCAACGTGTTAAGTAGTCTATTTCGTGTTCATAAATTTCTTTATTTCAAAATAAATCATATCAATATTTTAAAAAAAAAAAAAAAAATTTTTTTTTACAAAATAACAAATCTTAATGGAATATTCAGAAAATTTGTTTCATTTCTGAAAACTTTCATTCAAAAACTAAATAGAAAAAATTTATATTGATAAATTAAGAATTGCAAAAAAAAAAAAAAAAGCTGAAAATGGTTGTCTGCATTTCTGGGATAAGTAGTTATCATTATTTTATTATTTGCAGACTATTGTCCTTATTATCACAACATTTCAGTCATTGTGTCTTCCAGCCTTTTTCAGTTCAGGTAACCTTCAGGAAATTTTGAACTTCATTTAATCCATAAGCATAGATTGTTTTCATTATACTGCTCATGCTTAGGGATATCTCATCTTGTTTTTTTCTAGTATTCAATTATTGCTCACTTATACTACCTGGCCCAGGGATTGAACTCAATTAATATGCCACCAAATTCATGACACAACTAGTCTATTGTCACTTATTGGAAATAGGTCAAGCATTAACTGAACAGTAATAACAGCATCCCTAGCTATCCTTACACATGCACAGCAGAATGAAATCTATTGCAGTAGATTAAATAACTGGTTTTGTTCAAAATTCCCTGAAGGTTACTCAAATCAACAGACATCTGATGAAGGCCAGAAGGCAATATGGCCGAAACATTGTGATAATAACAAAAATGAGAGCATTAATCCAAAATTAAATAATGTAAATAATGAAAATAGTTGTGTTGTAACCATGTCTTTTTTTATATAAATAACCAGCAAAATTGTTAGAGAGTGCCTTTGAGATGGTACCTTTGGCTGAAGCCTATAAAGATAATTCTTCATTCATTATAAGACCATATAGTCCAACCAAATGTTTGTATTAGTCATGTATAATAACTTTGAATTTTATCATAATCTAACAATGCTATGAATAACAATTATTGAAATGAAAAGTATTACTTTCAAGGAAATGTTGCTAAATGTTGAACATGTCTTTTCTGATATTTTCTCTTCTTGTGCAGTATTCTTACCTACAAACCTTGCTAGTGTTTGTAAAATATTAAATATACAACCATTCCTCACTTAACGACTTGTTTACCTATCCCTGGACTTATGACCAGCTATAAAATAAATAAAATCCAACCAGTTAGTATTGTACATTGTACAAAAACTTTGATCATGATTGTTTTCACTTCCTTCAAAATTAATCAAAATAAATAAAATGAATAGTGAAAAATAAATTCAAAATTTACTTTTACACTACATTAGTCAATTGGATGCAAAGCAAAGTAATGTACTGTGAACTGATTTTCAAAATTCTTTCTTTTACTGTTCATTACAATACCATTTAAAAGTGAATTAGAAATTTACAAATAGTGCCAAAGTGATATTTAAAGCTATCTAAAATTGGTTGACACAAACCCATTACATATGTAATATGCCTGAAATAATCAGGTACAACACCTTACTTAATGACTGAGTTACATTCTTAGATGGTCACTAAGTGAGAAGTGATTGTTTTCTTTATCATTGATCATCTATTTCAAGTATATAATCTCTAAGTTACAGTCGTTGGAGTTCAAAGAGAATAATTTTCTTCGTATTGGTAAACAAAGAGTTTAGCTTAGATATCGGACCTGTAAACATTCACTCAGTAACCTTCTTCAATTTTTTCTACATTTCTGTTGGGAACAGGGAAGTGTTAAAGAACCATCTTCATAGTTCTCCACGACTTCCTGTCCCTTATACGCATAAGTACGCGTATGGCGCTCCCCACGTTTAAAATGACCTTACTACATCTAGCCTTGGTAGGAGGCTGGGTAATTATATCTGTCCTTTGTAAGCTATGTTTTAACTGTTTGACTATATTTATCATCTGATTTTGTCCCCTTTCTGCCATTCATTCACAATGTTGATTATTTACTGCCCCCCTCCCGCCTCTCCTTCCTTCAATGTCTTGTGAGTGTTAAATTTTCCAGTATTCTTTCCTCACATTTTTTTGGTTATTAAATTAAACTTAGTAAACCAAACTTCTTTTTTTTTTAATTAGTAAACTTATTACGCTTGAATAAAAAAAAAAATGTGGTGATATAAAATATAAAGATGACAGTGACACTAATAATTTTAGTGATATACACACACACACACAAAAAAGGGTCGAGTTTGCTGTTTGAATTAGACTAGAAAAGGATTCTAGAAACAGAAACTGAAACACGAATGATTTCGAAGAAAAATAAAAAAAAAATGAATTCCGGTTACTTTGTTCGTAACTTTTACAATCGAAAAGAAGTGTAAAATTACTAATAAAAAAAGATATGAAAAAGAAAAATAAAGTAAAACATTGGGTAATTTGCTTTTTAAGCCCCGCGTTAAGTATCTAATAAAAATTTCTGGAATTATTTTCAAATTAAGCATATAAATTTACACCTAAATACAACGATTCCAGAATTTTTTATTATACTTAGCGCGGGGCTTAAAAAGTAAATTACCCTTTAACTTTTTTTACTCATTTCATTAATAAAATAACATTAAAAAGAAATGGTTTAAATTTAAAACTAGTCTTTTAGCACCAAAGACAAAAAATATGTATATTCTCAAGAAAACCATTTTAAATGAATCCAATTTGTATTATTATAATTTGAGAAAAAATATTTATTCAATACCATATCAATTGTCGATAATTACAAAATCCGATAAGCGCAAATTTGTTCAAAAAGTGGGGGATCAATTCCTAAATTCAAACAGATTGCTTTAGTTTAGTTATCGATTAGTTACACAGACTTATGTATTATTATAGATTATTAATGATTGGTAATGTCAGTAAAAGAGAAAATGAAGACTTGTGCAAAAAAAAGAAAAAAAAACAATCCATGAATATTGAACAAAAAAACAATGACAACATTATTTTGTTTTCTTTCAAATTCAGTCATTTAATTTTTTAAATCGATTTAATTATCAAAATAAAAAATGGTATGTGATACTAGGTAAAAACAAAGAGACAACATCGAGTGTTGAATGCAATAAAAATAAATTAATTCGAATTTATTTTAAAATAAAAACATTGTATTTTGCTTCCCTCTTTAAAAAATTATTAACAAGTTGAATGTATTTCAAATTAAACTGAAATCAAAGTGACAATTAATTCCCTAAATTAAACTCTATAATTAAAAATTAAATATATCTAAGAAAGATATAACTAAAAAGTTATACGAAATAAAAATTATAACTTAAAAGAACATTTAATTTAACTACTGTCAAAAAAGTAAAAACTCACAAAAATCGTCCGTTCGGCTTGCAATCATTTCTTTTTTATTGGGCTATAGAACTGAAACTAAAACACTATCAGAATACAACAATTGAAAGTATATTTTTTAACGTCGACAAAAATGCAGGAAAGCAAATAAAATATTAAATAAAGAAAATCACCCCGATTCCTTAAAGAATAAAAGCTGCCAACCTTGTTTTTACGCTTAAGGCTTTACCAACAATTGACCAAAGATATATTTTTTTTTAAAAAATGCGGGGTTTTAAAAGTGTATGTGAAAACTAAAATTAGATTTTTTTTACAAAATTTCTTAAATAGTTAATAAAAATGTCAAACATTCTAGAAACTCACTGTTTGCTGTTTGATAGGTCCATCTTAGTGATTGTGATGCTAAGTAATAGTGAAACGAATATCGATATTGGAATATAGCTTCCATTTCTCTCGGTTTGCTTTGCAAAAATAATTTATCCGGGACGGATTTAATAACAGGGACTATCTTACATCAGACGCCGGTCCAGTGTTCTCCACTTTTACCAACATAATTTTAATCAATGTCGTTTGGCTGACAAGATGTTTGCACTCACCTCAAGAAACATCAGGCAGATAATTCAGAAAATTAGACCGATTTATACTAAATGTTATGATCCAGTTAAACAAAATGCAGCCCTTTCATCAAATTTTTCGACTGGAATCAAAGGCGGTAAATTATTTTTTTAATGATTTGTCTTTTTTGTTGTTGTTTTACTGCTGACTCTTCTTAAACATTTTAGAAAAAGTTTTTCAGCCTCCCGTAATTACAAAATGTCATGTCATCGTTATTTACTAGTTGTTAAAAATAAATAAAAAATACCACAAAATATTAATTACTATTTTTTGAGGTAATAAAATAAATAAAAAAATGGCTCCTGAAAAGAAAAGCGTCAAAACAAAGTCAATTAAAAAATATCGATTATTTGAAGAAGTTAGTGTACTTTTTTAAATTTTAATTTAGAAACAAAAAATTAGGAGTGTTTATAATTTTGGTTTCATCAGCCTTGTCCATTTATTTTTTTTTTTTAAACCTTTTTTTGCTATATATATATTATTTTGTAGAATGGGCACAGTAACATTGTGTTGTGCCAAACACGTTACGTTAAGAATTGCGCTGTACCCTAAAGAAAAATACAAACCACCCTTGACTTGGAATCAGAGTTTGTTTAATGATAATCAAGGAAAGATAAATAAATGGTTTGGGCATCCGAACTTGTACTCGTTAATTTTTCTGTGAACCGATTTTGCTTTTTATCTGAAATCATTATTCAAAAATCAAAATTCTGATCATTACCTATAGACTCGAACACCGACCTCCGGTACTAGTGAAAACAACCATACCATACGCAACTAATCTCAGCCACTAACATTTTTAAAAGTGTTTTTTTTGGTTTTGGGGGGGTTTCTCCTCTAAATTCTAGTTTTGCTTAGTTTGTTTATGTGTGCATTTTCTTTTAAATTTGGAACTAGTACGATTCATTTTTTGAATTACTCATCCTCTGCATTATTAATTTTGTCTTGTTTTTAGTTTATGAGTGATGAAGAATTCACACATACAACCTATTTACTAAGGATGCACTCTACCGCTATTTGTACTTTTTTTTTTTTCCTACAAAGAGTTTTTCCTTCTCACTTAAGTAAGTGACTTACGTGTTGATTGCAAATCTGTTGTCTCCGATTGAAGTATTCTTCACTCTCCAGATATTTTTGTTTCAACTTAGAATATAATTCTGGCATCTATTTTTTTTTTAAATAGTTATATTCCCCATGAAAATTTGTACCTCCCCATCTCTTCTATTTTTATTTTTTAAGTATATTTTTATGAGAATGGCCTTTTTTTTATTTTATGACCAAGTTTTGATTATCTTCAGCAAGAAGTTGAGTGCTTCATCATGGTGTCACTGACCATGACGCCACAATGAGTGAGTTCGGTCCTTACTGAGTGATTTTGCATTCTTGTGTTTTGTGTTTCCTAAAACTACCCTGAACTGAAAAATTAAATTAAAACTCTACTTAATGAATATTTAAACTATTTTAGTATTTGTACAGTAGCTATCAACAAAAGCCAAAATGCTTTTTTTCTTTTTTATTCTAAAGGAAAAAGCCCAAAAAATAAAAGAAGCTACTCCTTGTTTTAAAAAAAATTACCAAAAAAAATTAAGGAATTATCCGATTTTACGTTCTCTTATCAAAACTTTACAAATAGTTTTTTCAGTTAACAAAAAAAAAAAAAAAAATATCGATACATTGTGGATAACTTTTTTCGGAGGTTGGGGTGATGACAAAAATTATTTTTTATCATTTTATAAAGAAAAATCCCTGAAGATTTTTCTAGTAAAAAACATCTTGAAAATTTATCTGAAACTTTACAAAAATAATTCAATAAAACTCAAAAAATAATTTTAACAAGAATGAAGTTTGATGCCATGCAATACATTGAATTGAAATTGGTAACTAACAAGTTTTTACTCTGGTTGACTATCTACAGAGTAAAAATGAGTTCGAGCCACACTGGATGTCTCCTACAAAGACAAAATGTTCAACAACCTAACACTGGGGTTGAAATGTCATATTAACTAACTTCACTAACCGAATTTCTGTACTGTCTCTAAATGGAGTATTATTGTCCATTTCATTTACTTAGTCTTCAACACATCTCTTTCAAAACCTTACCGCACCTTATTCGTCATTTCTTGACTTGAGCGGAAAGGAGGACAAAATACCAAAGGTCTATGTCCTTTATTTTTTACTCATTCGATGTCATTCAAATATATAAGCTGCTTAAGCTACCAACGAGTCGATTTTATGGTATCTGATAAAAATCTAAACAGAATCCTGTATATAGGTACAACCAAACAAAAAGTTAAAACACCTTTAATATACAATAACCAAAAAAATAATTTAAAAAATAATTAGGTACAAACGACTGTTATGAGCTTTTCAATTTTTCCTTGACAATGTTTAAAAAGCTATGGTTAGAATTGTAATAAAACCTAAACATATGATGAAAGTGAATTTATACATTTTTTTTTTTTTTTGTTCTTGCAAATTTATAACAAAAATATTATTAAACACTATTTATTTACAAGAATAATTTTACAAAGTTATAAAAACTAATAAATTTATATTTAAAACTAATAATGCAATGCAATATGTATCATTTCATTTACCAATTTCTAAAAAAATAAATATGAAAACATTTTTTATTCATAAATTTATAGACATTTACTAAATTATTAAAATATATGAACTACTTATAAGGAAACCTTTATTATTTACCATTTTATAAAAATCAAATCAATTGGTAATTACTAATTAGTCAGATACTTTGTATTTTCTACAAATAAAAAAAATACAAAGGATCTGTGGTCCATATAACATCAGGACAACCTTCAAAATCGGGACGGCACTTTGCAGATATCTCTCATGAGTAAGACACTTCATAGAGGAGAACATGACTAAAGACTGTGTGTACTCTATCCCATGCAGCTGCGGAAAGAAATATAAATATAGACAGGCCATCCTCTTAAGGTAAGGCTTCAAGAATACCAGAAAGCTGTAACACCAGGGGAAGTGGAAAAATCAGGTGTGGCTGACTACATATGGAGACAAAAGGGAGATCACAGCCCTCTGTGGGATCAAGTTGAAATTATAGACAAAGAATATCATTGGAAAATTCGTAAACTTAAGGAATCGGCACATATGCTAGGCCACAAAAACCTCCTGAGCCAACCAAGCATAGAAATGAATACAATATGGGAACCAGTTATAAGGAGTGCCAGAGAAAAGCGATAATAACAACAAAAATTGCAATATGAGCTCTGGTAAAAACATATATTGATAACAGCAAAAATTGCCATATGAGCACTGGTAAAAAATGGTCGCTGAAGACATTAGGTTTATAATACCCAGAAATTCATACACAGATGTCCTCAAGGACACATGGCACAGTGGAAGAAGGCATTAGTTAGATCCAGTAACAGGACCCAAAGAGTGTGAGTTCAATACCTGGTTAAGGCAGTGGAGAACTTTGAGAGGGGAATTAACAGGAAGTAACTGACATCCATTAGACATGGCACCTGGAACTAGAACAGTCTACCCCAGTGAACGAAATAAAGGGTTCAGTTCAACATTCCAATCACCTGAAGAAAGCTGGAGCATACAACAGCCAAAACGTTGTGATAAACATGGCAACAAAGACGAGGACAATAGTCCAAATAATATAAAAAGTGTACATAATACCTCATCTCAGAAATATAGACAGATATTGATTATTTTTGTTGTCAATTTTCTAGAACAAAGAAAATGTATAAATTCACTTTCAAATGTTTAGGTTTTAATCATTGTCAAAGAATGAAGTTAGTTAAAAAATAATAGTAGTGTCAAGGCAAAAACCGTTTGTTGCTATGTAGACTAAATTACATTTGTCATTCATGTCCATTTGTGGCTTTTCTGTCTTCAATATTTGTGTGTAGTAGTGAGTTAACTGAGAAGTGTTCCATTTAACAATGGCAGAATATTCGTATCATGAGCAGGAAGATATGATTTTTATATATGGCCATGCAAATGGTAATGGCTGCACGGCTGTATTAGATTACATTTCCAGACTGAAGGCAGCAGAGTCAGCCAACCTTTACGGCTGTTATCGTCACGTTGCTGAGACAGAATCTGTGGCATCACAAACTATGAATCAAGAAAGACTGAGATCCACTCACACACCTAACCATGAAGAACACATTCTATAGGATGTTGGAGAGAATCCAGGTATCAACACTTGTCAAGTAGCCCTAGCATGTCATACAACTCATAGTACTACATGGAGGTTACTTCAAGAGCAGCTCCTATATCCGTATCATTTTCAACGTGTGCAGGATCTTTTGCCCTTTGATCACTGACCATGAAAGAACTTTTGCCAATGCTTTATTACATAAACTGCTGATCCATTACATGGAACTAGAACAATCTACCCCGGTGGATGAAATAAAGGGTTCAGTTTGAAATTACAATCATCTGAAGAAGGCTGGAGTGTACAACAGCCTAAACGTCATGAATATTGCAAAAAAGATGACGACAACAGTCTGAATAATGTAAATAATAACAATACCTCATCTCAGAAATATATACAGATATTATATAGGTTTCTTGGTCAGAAAGTGTAATTGATTCCAGCTCAAAATAGTTGGAAATCTGGAAGATACTACTCTGGGATTCCAGGTTAAAAAGTATAATGGTTGCATTTGTACATTGTGATCTTGAGTGAAGAAAAATGATATTTCTGGTCCGTCAAATAAGTTACTGGATCTCTGGTAAGCTGCAGCAATGAGCAGAGATCCCTGTGACCAGT